GGGGGGGGGGGGGGATTGGAGATGAGAGTTACCTTGTTCGTCCATTGCTTCAGGGGAGTCGGAGTCTGAGTCGTTGGGGTAGGCAAAGGTTCGTCTTAGACGGGTGGTGGGCGTGTCTGCGAGGGAGGCCATTGTGAAGTGCGATGCTTGTAGCTTGATGGAGGAGAGAGTGTGATTGAGCTTCTGATGAGAGGGTTGATGGATATTAGGTGGAAGCAAGGCTGAGTGAAGTCATGCAGCTTTGTTGGAGATGAGAAAAGAAGAAGACAAAGAGAGGTAGATGACGACGCTGATGATGAAGCTGGCAAGATGGCAAGGCAGCAACCAGCAAAACACCTTGATAGCATTTCAGCAGCTCTCTCTCAGCCTTATGACGCCACAACGCAGACAGCGAGAGGTACGTACCAAGTCCCTCCCCCACTACCGTCTCCCCACTAAAATTCCTTCAGCCTCCTGCCAAACATGGTCTGACCTGAGAATATCCGAAACCCTTCTATACCAGACCACACAGAAACCAACCCCTCCCAGCATGATATCGCGGATTGCAAGTCGCAGGCTGTGTGCCGCGGCCTCTCGGCGAGCCGGCAGCAGCAGAAGCGGTGAGAGTGCGGGTTGGAATGCCAGATCGGTGCAGAGACGGTGGATGACGCCTGCGCCGAAGCCCGGCGATGGGCCCATGATGTCGAGACGAGCCGATCGCGAGCTTCCCGGTGAGTTTCTTGATTGAAAATAGCACCTTTAACAGATCAATTGAATTAGATTTTCTTTCTTTTTTCTTTGTTTAGTTGACTGACTATGGGGAATCCATTGTATAGACGTCGGCCAAGTCTCGCAAGGATGGCGCCGCACGATGCCCATCTTCCTCGCCGTCGTGGCCGTGTGCTCCGTCACAATCTTCAACTACCAAAAGTCCTCGTCGCCCATCATCTCGTCCACGCTCTACGCGCTGCGCACCTCCCCCGAGGCCAACCGCCTGCTCGGCGACGAGATCTACTTCAAGCACCAGATCCCCTGGATCAGCGGCGAGATGAACCAGGTCAAGGGCCGCATCGACATCAGCTTCTCCGTGCGCGGGTCAAGGGGCGCGGGCGTCATGCGCTTCGCTAGCCACCGGCCCTCGAGCAAGGCGCTCTTCGAGACGACGGAGTGGAGCTTGACGCTGGAGGACGGGACAAAGGTGGATTTGCTGGATGGGAATGATCCGTTTAGGGGGTTGTTGGGCGGGGAGGATGAGGATGATTTGCCGTTGGTGGAGGATGAGTCGACGAAGGGGTTTAGACAGCAGGGTGCGTACAATAGGTGATGAGATGGATGCTGTGTGTTGTGCCCGAGAGATGGAGCTGAGTTTGAGGGAATTGCATGGCTCTTGTACAAGTAGAATTTTCGGTTGGTTTAGTCTGGTCTTCATGAGTGTCATGATGTGTATAGTGTACTCCTATAAATACAAAAAAAAAGCCCGCTTTCCTCTTTTGCCTTTTTCTTCCCTTTTTGTTTCTTCACCCTGTCTCAATGTACTCGTTACAGTTACCCGCCCGTGTAAATTGGTATTCTTCTTTTCTTACAATTCAGCCATGTGTGACCTCCTCTGGGCCTGCATCTCCATGTGCCTCAACCTCGCCTCCTCCAACTTGGTCTCCAAATCGGGCTGTCTCTGATCCAGCTCCTCGCGCGCCTTCTCTCTGTACGGCAGAGCAGGGGCTTTCCTCTTCTTCGCATCCTGAAGCCGCACAATACGGCCCTTGGGACCGGGAATCGGCCCGCTGACGAGCACCACGCCCAGCTCGTTGTCCACCTTGAGCACCTTGAGGTTCTGCACCGTCACGAACTCGTTGCCCATGCGGCCGGGCATCTTCTTTCCGGGAAGCACACGACTTCCGCTGCCCTGCGAGGGACCCGTCGAACCGATTGTTCGGTGGTTCTTGGAGTTACCGTGCGAGGCTTCCTGACCGGCAAACCCGTGGCGCTTCATACCACCCGCAAAACCCATTCCTCTTGACCGGGCCTTGACGTCGACGTGCTGGCCCAGCTGGAACCAGTCCGGCAGCAACTGCGCGCCGACGGGCAGCAGCCCTTCCTCGTTGCGCACCTTGAACTCGGCCAGCTCGGCCTTGGGCGCAATGCCCTTTGCCTCGTAGTACCCCAGCATCGGGCTCGTCACGTTGCGTCCCTGTCTAGCGCCGAGTCCAATCTGCACCGCCCAGTAGCCGTGCTTCTCGCGCGTCTTGTTCGCAATGACTTGCACCTGGTCCATCTGCAGCACCGTGCACACCACCCGAGTCTTGCCTTGGAAGATGCTCGTCATGCCTTTCTTGACGGCGAGCACGCCCGTCCGCAGGGGGGTTGTGTTCTCGCGACGCTTGAGCGCGGCCGCGGGGCCGGTCGTCAGGGCTGGGAGGCCAGAAGTCGGCTGGTTGAAGCGCTTGTGCTTGGATCGCGGCGGTGCGGTCGACCAGCCGTACTTGATGCCTCGCTGGGGAATGTGCGGGAGGAGGAGCGCCGGCCGGTTGACTGCGGCGAGGCGTGGCAGAGCCACTCGAATTGGTATCCTGGGAGGCATTGAGGCGATTCTGTGTGTGATTTCCTATGCGGATATCATTAGGTGGTTGTGGATTGGGTCGGCGGAGTTTCGCCTTGGTTTGGATGGTATGATGGGAAATTTTGGAGTTTAGCTTCTGGCTATGCAGGCTCGGGTATTCTGCGGGGCGGGGTGGTTGAGTTTGAGAGGTTCAGCCTCGCGGGGTACGTACCTGTGAGGTGGATGAAGCAGAGCAGCTCAACTCATGAATGTGATGTATTTGTTATATGGGATATAGATACAAATTACAATCAAAATGCTTCCTTGTAAAGTCTATTCACATGTAGAATTTTTATTATTCTTTTGTTTTCATCGTCGTCGTCGTCATCGTATACATTCATCTACACTCCCGGCCCTCTCCCTCCAATCCCGCTCCCCATCTCATTCACACTTGTCCCCTTCACCTTATGATCCCCCGGCTGCGCAGCCGCCTCATAGAGAATATTCGTCGGCGCCTTTCCAAATCTCGTCCACTCCCCCTTGAAGCCCAAATAACTAATCCGCGACACGTCCTCATCGCCCTCACCAAAATTGTCCACGAAGAAGAGCACCAGTCGGTGCACGCTGCCAAACAGCGAGCGCTTGACGGGGATCTCTTGGATGTCGGACGTCTGCGAAAGCTCGAGGGTCTGTACAGGTGATGCTTCTTCGGCGGCGGCGAAGTCGATGTCGTCGCGGTTGATGAAGAGTTGGAGCGTTTTGGGGGCCGAGAGGGATGGTGATGTGCGGACGAGGATGGAGTGTAGCTTGACTTGGGCTGTAAATCTATTGAAAATGAGGTTAGAAAATAAGAAACGAAGTTATTTGTCGTAAAGTAGGAGTAAATTAGATTATGATAAAGTGTATACATGTGATTATGCATATACATATAGCAGCTGGGAGAAGAGGATAGTGAGAATAAGAAAAACTCACGGCACCGTCATGAGAAGCTGCTCATCAGCATCGCTCTCCAGCTCCGGCTCGGCACTCAACCTCTCCGCCCACGTCTTCTTGACAATCAACTTGCCGGCATCCCTGCGCGCCTCGTTGAGCGTCGTGATTTCATCGAAATTGATTTGCTCGTACAGCGAAGACTGCAGCGCGGGCGTGGTGTCGTCTGAGTGGTCGTGCTCGCCATGGTCGTGAGAATGGCCATGGTGGTCGTGCTCGTCGTGGCAGTGGTGGGACATGCTTATTTCTCGATTCTTCAATGGATTTGACGATGGATTGAGTGAATATTGTTAAATCGAGGAATAATGATCTGAGATGGGATTTGTTATGTAGATGGCGGGATGGAATAAAATCTTTGATTCGATGATGTAGATGGTTTGTTTGCTACAGCATCAGAGGCCCCGCAGCTAGCCGTTAAATTGAGCGACTCCAAGTCTTACCTGAGATGAGCACCACCGCCTTTATAAAACAACATGTAGAAATTATATAGTTTTCTGCTATTTTACTAACTCCTCTTTCTTCCTATGAATACCAAAGATCCCTTAAATAGCAAAACGCATCCATCTAATATCTCATATCTAGCGGGTATCAATGAAATCGTCAAAGTAGTACAAACCCAGCAGCTGTAAGCAAACAACCCAAATTTTCAAAACTTCCTTCCAGCCAGTGAAATAATACTAATAAAGATAAAAAATCATCTGAAGCCACCTTTCCTCTTCACCTTCTTCTTCTTCCTATCTCCAAACGGTCCAGAAACAGGCTGGCTCATCGTCACAGCCGTCTGCTGCTGAGTCGCTTCTGGAGCCGCCTGGCTGGACATGACTTGCACGGGCGGCGGTCGCACTGACGCCAGGGGATTGATGTCGGGAAGCCCTTGTCTCATAAATGCTGGTCGCCTAAACTTTTCCGATCGCGCTTTTCGCTTCGCTTCGATCCTCTGTAGCCGTTCTTTGGCGTCCCTGAAGAGCTCCTCATTGGCTCTTGCTACGCTTGAAATGTAATTGTTTGGATCGACACCCCGTTCCTTGGGCCAGTATGATAGCACTTTGGACCGTTTTGAAACGTCCGGCCTGTTAGTGTCCAAAGACTGGGCCAATAGTCGTAGTCGCTCAACCGCCTCGTCTGGCCCGTTGAAGGTTGCCGATGCAGCGGGTGAGGCAGCAGGCGAAGATCCTATGTCCCTGGAGGCTGATCTCGACGAGGTTATAATTTGAGAGCTGCCAATCTGACGCCCTGTCCGAGACCTCTGAGACTCCTCCTCCTCCAGCACTTCAGAACTACTAGGCCCAAGCAAGGGAATATCCTGGTACATGATTCCGTAGCTGGACAGAAAGGCCTCTCGGGCTAGTTCGGTAACCCATATTCGCCGAACTTGTTGCATATCCTCAGTGAGAATGCCCTTTATGGGACCGATCCATATGTCAGAAAAATGGCGCTGTAGATATTGCAGGCTGACCAGTGACATGGGCATTTCGTTCTGGTTATATAGCTGAAGTGGAGTAACGACAACCTTTTCGGTGTTTTCATCCAGTATCTTCTCCATTTCGTCTCTCAGAGGGTCACCGGCGGGCTCAAATGTTGGATCTTGCAGCATCACTTCAGCCACTTCGCCCCTATAACATGATTAGTATATTCTGTGTGAGAGCAAGCTCAAGCTCAGTTACTTACCATGTTATCAATGGTAGCCTCCCCTGGTCGAACCCATCGTTAAGGCATTGTCCGAGGGCGTCAAACAATTGAGACGGGAGGCCAGTTTCTCCTTGGTGTATTGAAGCTTCTAGAGAGTTTTGTAGGGCTTGGTATAGTCTATCCATTTTGATAAGAGTCGGTCGGGCGAGTGCTGGGCTCTCAACATTATCATCAGACTCTCCGTCATCTTCGACCTCTTCACCATTCATAAGCATCTCAACGTCGTCGACAGTCATTTCATCTGGAAAGATGAATGACCCAGAAATATGCGCCATGGCAGTTCTTCTCCCCTTTTGCTTTTTCATTTGTTGTTTGGCTTCAGCCCACGCAGCAGGCACCGTGGGGTCTTGAATTTCGAGCGTCGGATCGTCAGACGTGGCGCATAGGCAACGCTGTAGGCTTAAATCTTTGCCCAAGAAAGTCAACTGATAAAACAGGGCACCCTTTTTATAATAGTCCATTCCAGGACTTGAAGCATTTTCTTTGACTGAGACTGCGAGTTGGATTGGGTCGACCCTGAGATACTCAATCACATTCTTTGCTGGAAATTCCGTGTCCTCGCTCCCCGGAAGTGATATAATGTCTCGATGCCATTGAGGCATCCTGTTTATAGGTGAAAATGTGAACCAGAATATGCAAAGTTGGCCCATTCGTGGATAGTAGATAAAGACTAGAGATGTGTCTTGGTCATCATCTGATGCTCGGCAGACAAACATCCTCGAGTCGTCATTTTTTGTTCCCAAATGGGGGCACGAGAGCAATATTGACGGCTTCAGGGGCCCCGATCCTCCTTCATCACGGCTAAACACATCGACCCAGGTGATATGATATTGCGTGAGGATGAAAACATGGCCTTGCTCAGTTGGACTACGATGAATATCCAAGATCCAATCCAGCTTTCCCCTTTCCCGAATGATGTGGCCGAGCCTTGGAAGTAAGATGTTTGCGTCTAAATTCAGGACTTCCATTCTCTCATGATTCCACATCAGAAGATATCGCGTGGTAGCGTCTGCCGTCTTGCGGGAGGAGGGGGACGGTGAGCTTTCTACTTTTCCAGACCACGTTTCTTCCAAAATCAGAATCCCGTGTCTTTCGGTTGAATAGGAAGGCATAGACGGTAATTCGTTGAGTAGGCCACGAGAAATATGTCCGCATTTATTGAGAGTCAATTGGGGAGCCACTCTTCGTTGGACCTGCGAAGTTCCCGGATCATCCCATATGCTCCAATACCCGCCCTCATCTATAATGGCAAGTTGATGCGATCGGCCAGATGCCGTGGCAAACAAGGCGACATCAGAATGAGCATTACCTCCCGTCTGATGATACTGAATAGTTAGCAAAGGATTTGGGTTTATCAGTGATGGTCGTTCCCGAATTAAGCTGCTCGTTGGCTGATTTGAGGTGGTGGGCACCTGACGGAATTCCGGCTTGAGAATGGTTGTCGCTGTTTCTTTTTGAATCAGAAGCCACCGAGGTGTGTCGTCTTTCGAGTGGTTCCCAGCAAATTTGATCTGCCTGATGGGGAGTCCGTCATTAGTCCATATTAATTCTGCCTCCCTGTTGGCCGGATCGATGCTCTGAAGATTCAGAAATGCATTTGCGTTGTTCCCCCATTGTAATGGCACATCCTCCATGCGGGCCAGCCGTAAGAGCTCTCCGGATTCCCCACAAGCAACAGCCATTATAGGGGACTTTAAAGACCCTGTCTTAACACTGGCATCGGGGACGTGCCCAATGGCGAATAAAGGCCTGGTGTTAAGGGCATCATCTGAGATGTTGAGCGCTTCCATGTCTGCTTTGAGAGTGTCTTGATATGCCGAATTGCCCATGGCGATTTCTGGGTGAGACTTGAACAGCCATCGTTCTTGATTTTGACGTTCCCTCCAGAGCCTGGTGGATGTCTCCGGAGGCCGACTTTTCGAAGCTGAATAAGTAATGGTTGAAGCACTGATAATCTTGAAGTGAGGCCCTAGTACCCGATGTTAGTATTTATCTTCGATTCTCTGTTTGTTTCTTTGTGCACCCCCTAGTTTCTCACTTACATCTTGAGGTGAACCGGGATGTCTCCAATATCCCAAGTGTTCTTCCGGGATGCTCGCTGGAAATATATTTCAATTCGCCTGGAGTGCCCAGGCCCATCAGGGGATGAGGCCACCAGTCCGCCATTTGAGGCCCGTTATCGTATTCGATGCGATGAGAAGAGGTTGATTTTTCTTTTCTTCATCTCGAGTTCACCTGAGACAGATCGTACCTGCATTCGGGGTCACATAGAGGCAGTGGTGTGGCTCAGATTGGCATTAGAAAGTGTAACAAGTGAAGAATGTTATAAATGTAAATTATTCAAGAAAAAGAAAGAAAAATAATGAATTCTCAGCCCTCTTCCTTCACTGAGCATGTCACGACAGACTGACTTGCTTGAGATTTGAGTTCTTGGATTTCAGCCACGTGACTGAGCCTGCACTCTAATTTTGCGCCACACTTGGCTGTGTCGACCCAGCAACGTGCTTTTTGGGTAAACACCATCAACCCGGAGCTCTGGAACCGACCAAGCAGCGTTTTTGCTTTGCTTCACCCCACCTACAACACTCTGCGAGCAGAAGCCCAGAAAACAAGACGAGCAAAGACACACACACACAATGGCTGCCGGTTTCGATCCATCAATGTCAATCGGCCCTGGCCGCCAGACCATCGCCCCCGTTGGCCCCTCCGCCGCCGACACGCTGCCCAGCATCGACTTTGGGTTCGACGATTTGCGCGAGCGCATGGCCAAGTTTACGGCCAAATTCGATGCCTTTATAGAGCAGGGCCGCAAACGTGTCTTGGAAGAGCGCAATCAGTTCCGCGTCAACATGGCCGAGCTTCAAGGTATGCGCTGGTGCAAAATGCCATATGGATATAAATACCATCTTTGAACAAGAGACTAAACAACCCTTTCACACAGAGGATGAACGCATGCGACGGAGGGATATTGAAATTGCCCAAGTCAAGATGTCGACGTACCAGCAAACCATTGAGAAGGAAGAAGCCGAGAAGCGCGAAATGGAAGGCTCAATATCCTCGCTCGCCGCCCAGCGCGACAGCCACATCGCCGCCCGCGACAGCCTCAAGGCCCAGATTGCCGAGACCCAAGCTGAGATAGACTCTCGACTGGCCGCCCAACGCGCCTACATGAAGCAGAAGGAGGCGCAGCTACGGTACAACGTCCCCGAGCTGGACTTTTGGATCACAAACCTGTGTCTGCGGATTGAGGGCGCGGGAAAAGACGACCGGCTCAAGTTCGTGTACACGCATATTGACGAGAAGAACTGGGAGCGCGAGGCGTGGTTCGAGCTGGTGACTAGCTCAAGGGATTACGATGTGAAGCATTGCAGGCCCAAACTGGAGCGGGAGAGCGTCGAGAGGGTGCTGGATAAGGTGAACGAGTCGAGGGAACTGGTTGTGCTGCTGAAGGGAATGAGAGAGCTGTTTGTGGAGGCCGTAAAGTCCTGAGCCCACGGGGAGGGGTGTTTGATTGTTACGATGATATGTGTGTTAGATACCCGCAGCTGATGATTTACATGATGTATATGGACACTGAACTTTGGTTTCTTCTCTCGTGTAAAGTGGTTTCGAAAATCGGCCTGTAATGTCACCTGAACGTGACAGAGTACTACAAAAGGAATTGATGATTGTACATCTCGAGCTTCAAATACAGACAAAGCCACGACTTACCTCCCGCATACCTGACGCTGGTCTTGATGCTCACCAGCCACATGTGCAAACCGCTAACAGGCGCTGCAAAACCGCTGTCAAGCTTAGCTGCAGCGCGTCAACGCCCCACTAAGCCAGACATCCATACAACACCTAAACCCACGCCAAACATCCTTCCAGCATCTAAACCACCGTCATCAAAATCAGCCCTTTCGCCATGCCCAAACCCGACAAACACGTCGCGGCCTCTCAAGCCGTCGACATTCTCGAAGAAATCTCAACCATGCTAGTACGCATCTCATCTCACTCTACTAAGAAAAAGGAAAAACATCAGTGCTAAACCTCTTACTAGAACTGCCACATGGACCGCCGCATGCTGTCCACATGCATCTCATTAATCGAGCAAGGCGTCCATCCAGAATCTCTCGTGGTAAGCAAGCAAATCCCCGGTTTCCTTTTCCCCCTCCTTTCAAGGCGAGCCGTCGTTTCAAGCTATCGCGTAATTATTAACGGCTCCTCTTTAGCAAGTCATCAAGGAGCTGCGTGAGATTGCCGATGACACGCGCCGGGAACAGCAAGAGGCCGCCGCCGCTAATAATCGGTGAAGCCTTCACTTTCACCACACTCGTGCACACACCCTTTTTTGCCTCATCCGCTGGGTTACCCTTTTGTAATTTGTGTTTTTCTGTTTGATGTTTTGCTTGATTTTTGAGCTGGGATTTTCATCTGTTATTCATGGCGCTTAGGGCGTGTACAAATACTATATTACCACTTTGGACGACTATTACTGTACATGGTAAATATTAAATTGACGGAGCATTGCCCCGATGACACTCCCATTTCCATATGCAAAAGTGGCATCTTCCCTTTTTTTCCTCCCAATGGTCCAACTTTTTCTGTCGATGCAAATGCCCATATCAGCGCCATGCCGTCGTAGTGACTTTAAAGAAACTCCGCCAAAGCTAACATATGATACGAAACGAAAAGAAGAAAAAGGAAGACAAAATATAGAGACATAGAAGAAACAAGGGAAAAAAGAAACAAGATACATGGTATCCCAAAGCTAGAGAAGAAACAGAATAGAAGAAGAACCAAACTCCACTCCGTAGAATGCCCCTTGTGGATGGCAAGTATTTTCATATGTCGTCATGCGTCATTAACCACCTCCATGTGCTCTCACAAGCTTGAAAGCTTCCTTACTCAAGCTGCAAGCCTGAGTCGTTACCTGTGTCCAATCAAGTTGAACTCATCCTCTTCTTCCTCTTCGTCCTCATCTGCGTCGTGGGCGTCATCACTCGATTCATCCGAATCGTACTCATCCTCGCTTGATTCGTCATCTTCATCATCCTCGCCACCTCTCCAGAAGCCCAAGATGTCATCGTCAGACTCCCCGTCCACTTCCAGAACGGCGGCCTGCGGTATATCCATCATCATATGAGAAGGTGACATGGACCGGGCATATCTTTCGAGTATACGTGATGGAGGCTCTGGTGCATTGGAGGAGTGTCGCCGCCTGTTGGGCGCCCGCGAGCCTGTCGTGATTGAGATCCGTCGAGCCCCAGGCACCGCTTCCTCCGAACCAGCCTCCCGCACGGCCTGAGACTGATCACCAGCTGCCGGCTGGAGCGACTCGGCATTCTGCCCCAAGATTTGCAATTCTACCGTGTTATATGACCGACATATCGAGCATTTAAGTCCAAGCCAGTGATATGCCACTGTGCTTCTGGCAGAGCAATCGTTGCACAGAATCTTGGCCTTGGTGTCACGGAAATCCGGTGGCATTGGCTGGCTCAGAATGGCCAGATCCAAATTGCGAAACTGCGTCTCCATATTCATGAGGCTCTTGTTGCAAATTGGGCATTTGTACGAGGCCCGTGTGTGCTGCTCATAACACTTTTTGTGTATGCTATGGCCGCACACCATGAAGACAACCCGTTTTGGTGATGTAAACATGTACTCGCCACAAATCGGGCAGTCACAGTCTGTTGATCGCTCGATACACTTGTGCGAACTCTCAATGGATGTGGTGATGCATGCTCGACATGTCTACGATGTTGTTTAGTCACAGAACATGGAAGAAATGGAGAGTGGATCGAACTCACTTTGCAATGGAAGAAATCCTTTCCCAGCCCCATACCCCGGCGACATATTCCACAGTCATTGCAGTGATAGATGGGCTTATTGGCCCGATTCTCCCAAAGCTTACATATGTTACAGTAATACTGCGCTGACACCACACCGCAGTTACTGCAGACCTCAGATGCTTTCTGCGGCGTCGCACAGAGCATGCAGAGCATGTTCTTTGTATCCTTGCGGATCAGTGTGTGGTCCTCGTGTAAGTCATGGCAGAACCGACAGGTATACCACTTTTTGCAGGTGGAACATTGCAGTTTCACGTTCCGCTCATAGTGCTCACATCCTAGCGGGCCTCGAGTTTCGGTAAGCGAAGCAGCCGAGTGCGTTGGAGTTGTTGTGCTTGGTGTCCTGGAGTGTCGAACAGGAGCGTAGGTCGGAGCTATGTCGCTTTCGCTCAAGACAAATGTCTCTTTGACTGACGACTCTCCGATAAACTGATTCTGCCAGTACTTCAGCGACTCCAGAGGCCCGACAGGGCTAGCAAGCTCCCATGTCTGGCCGATGGAGCCGTCATCCGAATCGCTTTTGGCAAGGGGCGAGCCGGCGATCACGGAGGCACGATAGCCCTCCAACAGGGTATCGTGCATGAGCCTGGCCTTTTCATTAGATGGGATTTCCCGAGAGTTGATCTCCTGGATGCGGGAACGCAGCTCTCGCATACCGTCGTCCTCGGGAATGGGGCCATTCTTAGTCGGCGCATTTCTGGGCGGTGTTATCGGGAAGCCAAGATGGTCCAGCAGAGGTCCGTGACCCGTGGCTGGTCCGGCCGGGACTTCTTCCACGATCGTCTCCTGGGTGGAGGAGCTCAGAGGCCGGGAGCGTCGTTGCTCAGGCGATGCATCGGGCCCCTGCTGCCCGACATCGTCGGCGTCGTCAGAATCGTGGACGGCGTCGGGCGGAACTACTGGCGTCTCTTCATCGCCGGCCAACGTTGCACGGGAGATCTCGGAAAAGCGGCGAGCCTGTCGCAGCACAGGGTTGATGATGAACTCGGAGACAAGGGAAGGCATTTGGCTTGCTTGCGTCTGGCGCAACGGCAGCGCCTGCTGCTGAGGCGCAGCTGAAGACGGGGGATGCTTTTTAAAATTAGGATGAGGCTACCCAGCTCATACAAGTACCGTGGAAAGGGCGGTGATAGCAGGGAATTTAATTAGAAGGAATGGAAGAAAAGAAGCACGAAACGGGGGGTTCCCACGCAAGGTCAAACTCGACGGCAACCGGAACTGTTCATCTGGCGAGGGTGTTTCATCTGTTTGGCTGACCAGAGCAAAAACCGAAGGAGAATAAGAAGATGGCCAGAGTTCGGCGAGATGTTGGAAGACACTGGCCACCGTCCGTTGTTCGGCAAGGATGACATAAGGCATTGGACGGATTAGTATTCCATAGGTACAAGTACGAGTATGGTGAGCCACTGATGTGCTGACTGTGGTCTCAGACGCTTGCATGTGATTGCTCCAATTGATTCATGCTGGGTGAGACTTTCAAGGCCGCTTTAGTGCGTGTTTTAGCGCTTTCATCTGAGTACCAATAGTGAACAATAGCGTCGAAATATTAGCGCTCCATCCCTGTGGCTCAACCAACATTGAAACCGCTCAGCTATTGGAACTGCTGTTGGACTTGCTGTGGCTGGTGGACGGGAGCAGCCAAAAGCCGGCGCAGGTACGTACCGGCCCGGCGTTTTCCAAGAATGGCACTAGCCACGCGGCTGAGCACTTCTGGGCTGGAGGGGATTGCAAGGTGGCCAATATTCCTAGAGCTGAACCAGGGGGGTTTTTTTAGAAGCTGTCGTATTCTTGGAATCCCGACGCAAACAGCAATATCCACCACAAACACCTCCTTTGTCCTCCATTTCGTTTCCCTCTCCTGAGCCGGGCTTGGCCATCAGGATTGTTTCTCCTTTTCTTGTCGACGGTGCCAGCATCGTCGTCGTTGATGTTCTACTATCTTTGAGTCTGTCCAACTCGTCCAGTCATTACAAATTGTGCCGCAGCCTGCTTCTGTTGGAGCTAGCTGGTCGCCTCTCCCCTTTTTCTCTTCCGACCTCGTATCTCGAAACCGTTCAACCACTTCAATTGATTCCTTCTTGACTCTATTCACCAGTTCCCCGGGGAACAGAAAGTTTTCTTTCAAACCATGGCTGCCGACAAGGCCGTCCTCGCCTCTGGCGCTGACCAGGGCGAAGGCTTGAGGCTGCGACAGGTGGCTTCGCAAGCCGCGCCCGTGCCCATTGCCCAGCCGGAGGACAAGAAGAAGCTGGCAAAGAAGGTATATGATTAGCGAGACCCGGCAGTTTCAATTGCGTGCGAGCATCAGGCTGACAGCGGTTGCAGGAGAAATCTCTCTTTGAAGTGCTTACAGACTTGGAGTCCATCCTTGCCCCGCTGATCTTCACAGCCGTTGCCATCTTCACTCGATTGTGGAAGATTGGCATTAGCGATATCGTCACCTGGGATGAGGCTCAGTACGTAACCCTTGTCGCCATGTGCCTGAGAGGCGTGCTAGAGTGGAACGAGTTTACTGACTTGTGACTCTTGACAGTTTTGGCAAGTTTGGAAGCTACTACATCAAGCATGAATACTACTTCGACGTCCACCCTCCGCTCGGAAAGATGCTGGTAGGTCTCTCCGGAGTCCTCGCCGGCTACAACGGATCCTTCGAATTCAAGTCTGGCGAGAAATATCCCGAAGATGTCAACTATACATTCATGCGAGCCTTTAATGCCGCCTTTGGCATTGCCTGTATCCCCATGGCCTACTTTACTGCCAAGGAGCTGAAGCTGACCCGACCTGCCGTCTGGTTTGTTACCCTGATGGTCCTCTGCGAGAACTCTTACACCACCATCAGCCGCTTCATTCTCCTCGACTCCATGCTTCTCTGCGGAACCTTTGCTACCACTCTTTGCTGGGCCAAATTCCACAACCAGCGCCACAACAGCTTCGAGCCCGAATGGTTCTTTTGGCTCTTCATGACAGGTGTGAGCATCGGATGCGTTTGCAGTGTTAAGCTCGTCGGTCTCTTTGTCACTGCCCTGGTTGGTCTTTACACAATTGAGGATCTGTGGAGAAAGTATGGTGACAGAAAGATGCCTATTGTAAGTAAACCCCCGTTATGCCAGTACGGATCCCCGTTGGCTTACACTTTTGCAGCCTGTCCTTGCCGCCCACTTCTCTGCTCGCGTCGTGGGTCTCATCGTTGTTCCTTTCCTCATCTACATGATCTCCTTTGCTCTGCACTTTGCCATCCTCGACTCCACCGGCCCTGGTGATGCCCAGATGAGCTCCTTGTTCCAAGCCAACCTGAAGGGAACCGAAGTCGGCAAGAACAGCCCCTTGGAGATTGCCATCGGATCTCGTGCTACCATCAAGAATATGGGCTATGGCGGTGGTCTTCTTCACTCTCACGTTCAGACCTATCCCGAGGGCTCTGGCCAGCAGCAGGTTACTTGCTACCACCACAAGGATGCCAACAACGACTGGTTCTTTTACCCCAACCGCTTCGAAGCCGATTACGACGCCGAGTCCCCCGACCTCCGATTCATTGGTGATGGATCCGTCATTCGTCTCATTCACGCCCAGACTGGCCGCAACCTGCACTCTCACGAGATCGATGCCCCCGTCACCAAGTCTCACCGCGAAGTGTCCAGCTATGGTAACCTCACTGTTGGTGATGACAAGGACCACTGGCGCATTGAGGTCGTCCGAGATACGGCATCCCGCGATCGCAGCAGAATCCGCACTCTCACGACCGCCTTCCGCCTTAAGCACACTGCATTGGGCTGCTACCTCCGCGCTGGAAACGTCAACCTTCCTCAGTGGGGCTTCAAGCAGATCGAGGTTACTTGCGACAAGCAAAACAACCCCCGCGACACTTACACTCACTGGAACGTTGAGGCTCACTGGAACGACAAGCGTGAGTGAACGATTACTCTTTACTCTTATTCTAGCATTTTAGCATGACTAACCCTCTTGATCTTTTAGTGCCTGCCAGCGACCCCGGCGTTTACAAGTCGCCCTTCATCCACGATTTCATCCACCTCAATGTTGCCATGATGACTTCCAACAACGCCCTGGTGCCGGATCCCGACAAGCAGGACGACTTGGCCTCTCAATGGTGGCAGTGGCCAATCCTTAATGTCGGCCTCCGCATGTGCGGCTGGGATGACAACATTGTCAAGTACTTCCTTCTGGGTAACCCGTTCGTCTACTGGGTCTCCACCGCCTCTCTCGGCCTTGTCGCACTTGTTGTGGCATGGTACATTGTGCGATGGCAGCGCGGATTCAAGGAGCTCAACAACTTTGAGATTGAGCAGATTCACTACGCCGGCATCTACCCCGTCATCGGCTGGTTCTTGCACTACCTTCCCTTTGTCATCATGGCGCGTGTCACCTACGTTCACCACTACTATCCTGCTCTGTACTTTGCCATCCTCTCCCTGGGCTTCCTTGTCGACTGGGTCCTGAGGAACCGCAATGCTGTTGTGCAGAGCGTCATCTATGGCGTCCTGTACAGTGTCATTATTGGACTTTACGTCCTGTTCATCCCCATTTGCTGGGGTATGACTGGAAGCAACCAGCAGTACTCGTACCTGAAGTGGTTTGACAACTGGCGCATCAGCGATTAAACAGTATTTCCGACTAGCCAACTCAACACACCATGATGGCGAACATATACTTTTAACCCGTGTTCATCATCATAGGATTTTTTTTTTATCTTGGGGGTAGATGGATGAGTGGATGATGGTCGAGGGAGGCTGCTTATTGTTAAACAACCAAAAAAACACTCGCGCACACTCTGTAAGATTTGTAAAGACGTGGGAGGTGTATGGAGATTTCTCACATTAATGAAGAAAAAAGACACGGGTAGGGTAGGAAGGATTTTGCAAGTCATATAAAAAGATGATATGGGAAAAAAGGGTTGGCGGAAAATACTATACACCGCATTTAATGCAAGACATATATCTCCCCAATTTTTGCCATTGCCCGGTGCAGAAAGAAAGCGTCATTTGGCTTCGTGTCTGCCAGTTGTGTTGTGCATTCTACAACTATTATACAGTGTCATGCTGCCAATTACTTTGCTATGGATGTCATAAAAGGCTTCCAGACTTGAATGTCGTGTATATGATGAAAGCCCATCGGGTATCTTGTCTTGCCGACTTTCCTTCCTCCTTGTTCCTCCACATGCGCACACGACTTTCGCTTACGATTCGAATTATACAGAAAAGACAGTTGAAAAAAAAAATATCCATCTCAACAACATCCACCTCCTGATTTAGCGGCATCGGTAGATAGTTTCACTTGCCGGTTTCCGCCAGCGCCAGGCCCTTTGACGCCAGACCTCCTGTCGTTCAGATTGTACTTGCCGGCCTGGATGTTCTGGTATATCCTCTCGGCGACCCTCATAAAGGCCTTCTCAACGTTCTCGCCGCTCTTGGCGCTCGTCTCGACGTATTCAAGGATGCCATTGCGCCTGGCCCACTCTTCCGCTTCCTCCCGCGTGACCTCTCGCTTGTTGTCCTCCTGCTGCGTCAGATCGGCCTTGTTGCCGACCAGGACAATGACAATGTCCGGCTCGGCAATCTGGCGGAGATCATTCAGCCAGTCGGTAACGTGCTGAAAGGTGGCCTTGCGCGACAGGTCGAAGACGAGCAGCGCACCGCTTGCGCCGCGGAAATATGATCTCGTGACGGACTTGTACGTCTCCTGGCCGGCCGTATCCCACAGACTGAGCTTCATATGCTTCTGGGGGATGCCGCTGGTGTCGCGCCGGGGCTCCGGAAGGCCTGCGGGGGACGAGGGTTCGTCTGGAGAGGACAGGGACGGGACGGGGCCGGCGGGCGTGTGAGGAGGGCCGACGGGGACGATGCGGGAGCCGAATTCGACGCCGATTGTGACGTCGTGGTGCGCGGAGAAGCGGCCTTCGCAGAGGCGGATGGTGAGACTAGATTTGCCGCATCCTGAGTCGCCGATGCAGACTAGCTTGGCGATGTAGTCCCACGGAGCTGATGAGGACATGGGGAGGAGAGGAGCGTGGTGATGCGCACGAGATTAGGTAGAGAAATGAGATGGGAAGGGGGAGTTGGAGAGAGAACAAAGCAACGGAGAGACAATGAGGGAGAGAGGCGTCGGAGGGTTCAAAGAACGAAGGTCTAGAGTTGGAATTTGGTTGGAGGTGGTCGCAAATGTAATGTAGGTGTAATTGATCCAAGTGGGTTTGATTTGAGGCTGGAGCTGCGATTAGCGGCACGTGCGCCGGTGCGATCTAAAGGCGGCTTTAAGACCTGGACAAAGAAATACAAGGATGGCAGAGAGACGGAGAGATAGAGAGATAAGGCTCAGAAGTGGAAGAAAGAGAGGTTGGTGGTTTAAAGAGAGGGAGAACGCAATCACCAGACATTCGATTACACAGGAATAGAAATACAGGAAAAGAAGAGGGCAGCGGTTTGCAAGGCAGGTGACGATAGGCTCTGCCTTGTGTGGGATGAGATGGACATGGGGCTGTCACGGGCCAGCACAAGGTGTGTGACCCGACCCGCGAAAAAAGCTGGAGAAGAGGGAATTGGGGGCCGGACTTTGGATCGGGGAATTGGCGAGGTATTTTGTAGGCAGACGCTGCTGTTGGAGAACATCTACTAATGCAAGAAGAGGGTATTCTGGCAGTTTCAATATGGACAAAGGGATACCTAGCAGGCAGACTGAGCAGATGGAAGTGTTATCGGTGACGCAAGAAGGCGATAACGGCATCATGACGGGGACCCTTGACTAGCGGTATTTAGTAACTGATGCTACACGCAAGGTACCGCGTCTGCTAGCGCACGCACTGAGCACCCGGGGCTCGTATCAGCAGCAGCACTAACGGCAACTAAGTTCTTCCCATGTATCGCGTCTTAGAGGTGGACAATAGCATGACATGACTACCGCTAGGTCCTAGTACGAGTTGGCCACCAAGGTTCAGGTCAGCGCCCATGCCGGTACATGGACGGACCGCCGTAGGCAGCCATGTGCGCAGCTGGTGTACAGGTACCGATGCATGATGTGCAGTTGGGCTGCTGTCAACTGCGATTCGGTTTGTGCTGGCTGCCTTTTTCTTTCACGGTACACGGTTCATAACACGGTTCATGCTGCGTCTTCGACTCTTACCTGAGTAAAGTACTCCGTACAACCTGGTACGACCTTGGAGCCTCGGGTTCTTCCCCTCCGCTGCCCGTCGAAGTCGAGGCCTGGACCCGGCATGAAGCCTCATTGCCTAAGATGGGTATTTGTTTATATATTGGTAGTACAGAGGGTGAATCTCATTTTCTTCTTGGATGATTTGATTTCTTCTCCCTCTACCTTTTCCTGTTCTTCCTTCATACCTCACTCGCTATTACTTTACAGCATCTACTAAGTCATCAGCTCCCTCGGTGACCGGGGGGTCAAATGACGGCACGCCGCCCTTGTGCTCACCCAACCAAAAAGGTCCCCAGGTACTCCGCAGGTACCAGTACCCCATCTCGGCAGGCAGCGCACCGCATGCGGACCTCCTTATCACTAGCATGTGGCTCTGTGAGGCGCTGACCGCCAGCAACCTTAGGCTCTTAGCCAGCAAAGGACGCCCACCTGTACTCCAGGCATTCACTAAGTTTTGGTCTATCGAGGTCACCAAACCGACTCATCCGCCCTGTGTCGCCTGACCTCAGCTCTTTTTCTCCTCTGCTTTTTACTTCATACAGTCTTTGTTGCTCAATCAAGCATCCACCATACATTACTCATACCTCGCCATGGTGTAATATTTTTTTCCGTCTTTGATTCTTAGTCTTTGTTTTCTTGGGCTATTATTCTCCCTGTTGTATGCAAGGGAGAGCCGCCTAACTCTTTTGCTGCCTTTCCAAGCGTCGTTCGTCATCGCCCATCATCCTGCTTTAGAGTTTCATCGCATCTCCGCTCCAACGAACACAAAAAGATCGACAAAAGTGCCGCAACGCAGCTGCAGTTCGCCAGACATCGAGTGTGACAACCGTGCCAAACCACTTATCGTGGGGGCGGCGGTAGGTGAAGGGGCATCATGTTTTCCGAGTGTGCGTGACGACATCGAGCCGTATAAGCCTGCGTGCGTCTGATGAAGCTGCTGCTAACCCATTTCCCCTAGACGCCTCGAGATTTCTCGCGCAGTCCCAGTCGAGGCTGTCGAACTTTGCCCAAGCAGACAACGACAACTCGTCCCGGCAAAACGACTGGTCATCATCTCGCCCGACCCGACCCTATCGAGACGCCGGCCGAGGGAATGGGGGCCAGAGATCCCTTCTTGGAAGAGGCTATGGCGGGAACCCATATCAGAACGGTGGAGGAGGAGCCGGTGGTGGCTCGCGCTTCGGGCAGCTTGCGTTTGGATCTCGCATAACAGCTGCGCAAGATGCACCCCTGTTTCACAGCACGCTGGACGAGTTTCGAGAGGAGGACGACGAAGAGGAGCGCGACAGGGAAGCTGCTGATCTCTTTGCACTCCAGAGGTCACGAAGGGTGGCCGCCGCGAGCAAACTGGCCGACAGCGTCGAGTCTGACGCAAATAGTCGAGGATCGCTCGAAGAGGGCTCGAGGCAGTTTGACCATCCATATCGCGCCCAGGGTTTCGGCCGGGGCATCAAGAGCAGCTGGAACGGAACGAGGAGCTCACATCATACAACAGTCGCAAAGAATACACCGCTAGAAGAGGAGGAAGCTGAAGAAGTCGATCACGATAGCAGGGATGGCGAAAGCGATCGCAGCAGCGGTCACCATAGGGGGAATATGGTTGATGTCGGGCTTGATTCACAGGAGGACGCCGACGATGATCCTCCAGAGTCTCTCTTGGAAGAGCCAACCGATAACAGCCCCCCAGCTTTCCAACGATTCAAAGACCCGTCGGGACGAACGCCACTGCTGGAAAGATCGGCGAGAAGCGACACTGACATGGACAGCACGCGACACACAGAACCTCCGGAGGTTGACCCAGCTCCCTCAGGAAACGCCTTTGTCGAGGGAGAGATATTCAGACACGACCCTTTCTTCGCGTGGATATTCTTAATCAGTCTCGCCGGGATGATTTCAACCTTTGTCCTGGTGTGGCTCAATACTACTCCTAAGAAGAGCCCTGTTGGAGACACAATTTATACGACGCTACAGAAATCCTTCAACATGCTTGCCGTCGATACCGTGGTGGCAGTATTAGTGTCATTTGTATGGTTGGCAGCGTTGCGGTCCTTTGTTCGACCGCTCGTGACTGTTATCCTGGTCGCTGTGCCGGCCATTATGTTTTCATTTTCTATTTTCTCCTTTGCGTCCTCTTTCAAAGGGCGGACGCATGGGACAAGCTTCCAGGACGTCGTCATGAGATGGACCGCCATCGTCCCGGGAGCTTCATGCATCTTATGGCTCTGGCTTGTTGTCAAGGGTCGAAGGGCGATTCAGCAGGCCATTGAAATTCTTCAATTTTCCTCCAAGATTCTGGCACAAAATCCAGGTCTCTTGTTGGTAGGCTTTGGATGCCTGGCCTTGATCGTTGTCTGGACCTGGATTTGGCTGGCCATGTTTACCCGTGTCTTCATGGGTGGCTATTTCTCAAAGTCCTTGGTTCGGTTTGTGATTCAATTCTCCAGCTGGTGGCTCGGCGCCGCGTTTGTCTTCATGTATATGTGGACGCTCTCTGTCATCAACGCGGTGCATCGAGCGGCGACTGCGGCCACCGTCTCCCAGTGGTACTTTCATCGCAATGCAGGCCCTGCCACGCCTTCAAAGGAAATCGTCATGGCTGCTTTAGGCCACGGCGTGACGACAATTTTTGGCAGCATTTGTGAATCAACGCTTCTGTCTCTCCTTATCAGAGCACCATTGATTTTCCTGCCCAGAAGGCTAGGTGCAATCATCACAAATATCGCCTCGTTCTGGATACCGACGCCTATTGTGGCTCTCACAAACCCTCTCACAATTACTTTTGCAGCTATTCATTCTCAAGGCCTGGCCACGTCTGCTAGAGGTCTTGATCAAATGGAATTTGTATCACCTGCGATCCCTACTACCACCTTGACACCAAGGGCGTTGCGTCTACGCGGTCAGGCGAACGGCCTGTTGCCTTATCGGCTGGCCAAGTTGCTCCTGGTTGCCACCCGACTGATTATGGCTACTGGGCTGGGATTCGCGGGCTGGGTCATTACCGCAAAGCAACTGCGGATCCAGCTCCCAGACGGTGTAGGCGTACGAGGATCAGCGTATGCCTACGTGGTTGGCATGATGGCCAGTTTCATTGGCTATTCGGTTATGGGCGCAATGGAGGGCATTCTTAGCGGAATTGTCGACGCAGTTCTGATATGTTATGGAAGCGAGCGACGGATGGAGAGAGGCCATGGACGATTCTGTCTCGAAGCGGCATATCTGTTTGGAGAGCGGCGAGGAACCGGCGAGGACCTCGGATATGAGTAAACAAGCTCAGGCTGGGGCCCGCTCATGTATGTTGATGGATTCTGGAATTTGGCACGCCTGCTTTTTATTCTCTTTGTTTTTGATTGTTTCTTTTTTCCCTATTAGCTATTACTCGTTGCTGCGGGTTTTGAACTTGATTGAATGGGATGATAGATTGGTAGAGCTGATTTGGATTATCGGGACTCAAAAAAGGCCATGCAGTGGAGATGTTGTTACGGCAAGGCCCAAGGGGGATAGGACAGCAATGATATTTTCTCAATGTGATTTTCTCTACCTTTTATAAACCTGCTATGCTTGACGTGTTGTCTTACGATGGAACTTGTAATGTTGCAATCCCGTATGAATCCTCTGGTCAAAGAGAGAAGTGTGTTATGGTGTTCGTTGGTTGCGAGAAACTGTATTGATAGCGTCGAGTAAGACATGTCAATTCCATGAACGGTTAGACACTTTGGCCGAGTGGTTAAGGCGATGCCCTGCTATCAACAGGTATCATAGGCATTGTGTTCGCACGCGCAGGTTCGAATCCTGCAGGTGTCGGTTTCTTTTTTTCTTTTTCTTTTTTGCATTTTCCCCGTTTTCCTCTTCCACCCTCTCTCTCAATAACTTCTCGGTAATCTTTTTGCCCCGATTCCAATCTAGTGTGCCCTCTTTTCGTAAGACTTCATCGTCTTGTCTCATCGTCAAATCCATCCGTCTACCCCTCCTTCTCGCTATTCTACCCCCAGTTACTTAACCCCCCTCCNGCCCTGCTATCAACAGGTATCATAGGCATTGTGTTCGCACGCGCAGGTTCGAATCCTGCAGGTGTCGTTTCTTTTTTTTTTTTTTTTTTGGATTTTTCTCCATTCATACAGTCCTTTTTTTACTGGTCAAATCTCACATGATATTTATTCTTGGCAAGGCTATCTCAAGTAAACTGTAATAGATCTTTTTTTGTTATATACTTTTGGTGTAATATTGACTAGGGATCTCATGATCTTTGACATTGGAGACAGCTTCATGAGGTGTCTATCTCCGGCGAGTTTTTGTACAAAGAGGCGTCATTGGTCTAGGGGTTAGGATTCAACTCTTCCATTCACTTGAAAAGTTGAGGCCCGGATTCGAGTTCCGGATGACGCAGTGCTTTTATTTTTGCATTTCGCTCTTTTTTTGCACTCCGCAAGGATGAATCAGGCAAATCAGTATATTAAAGGATTGAAACAGGCATCGTAAGTTGAACTGTTTTGTTAATCCTGCTGTAAGGTTAGTATTTCAGCTCTTCCTTAGCTGCTGCTGTTTTATACCATGCATCAAGATGCCAATCATTGTTTAAGCAAATATATTCATTCAGGCTTACTTCATAAGTTACCCTAGATATCGGGCCTGTATTAGATATTTTAATTGTATGTATGTGTGTTTGTATATGCTACAGAATTCCTCAACTACGAGGCTTCTTTTATTCATCAGCCTCCCTAGGCAGTTCCTCGTAAGCAAACCCGCAGTCCACTTCATTAAGCACCAGCTCTGCCTTAGATTGAACAAGATCATCCCGGTCGCCTTCCGCCAGGAGCTCTATATCCAGATCTCGCGCCTTATTTATAGCATGTATGACTTTCAGCCGGGCATCTGGCTCGCCAGGGTCTCGTAGCTTTCGCACAGAGCGGCAGAGCTGGCCCCGGCTTGCCGCGATGCTCTGTCTCTGGTTTCTCTCAAAATAGCTAAGTAAATGGCCTACGGGATCTTCGTTTAGGTGTGCCTCTCGACGGAAGAGACCCGTTGAGGCATATTCTGGCCCTTGTACGGCGCCAATAGTAGGATTAGGGTCGATAACAAGTTGCTTCGTGTCTAGATAGATTCGCTTCACCAGGTCGGCGATGTGCATGTCATCGTCATCATTAACATTGTTCGGGTTATCTGGATCTCGGTATGGAGGTTCTGGTTCGGGGTGTGGTATAAACGGTGTGGGACGTCGAAGCGGCCGGTCCACGCCTGGGATCCTGATGAAATGTGCCTCTGGCTCGTCTTCTTTATCTATAGAAAACAGAAACACCCGACCAGTCGCATCTCCAACGACCATTTTCCGGAAATTGGGCGAAAAGGCACCGCAGGAAATGGGACCAGGTGCTTCCAAAATAGTTCGTATATATGGCCGGTGTTTCTTACGCACGTTCCAGACCATGACGGTCCCATCGCTAGAGCCTGTGTAGAATCGATCTAGGTTGTTCCCCCAAGCTGTAAACTTGACTCCAGTGTCTTCCTTCTCTCGGTCATGGTAGTATTCGTCCAGAGGACGGCCATGCCGTAGAATATGCACAGGGTTGTCTCCTTGCGCCGTGTCCCACACATATACTTTGCCGTCAGTGCACCCCGCAGTCACATACTCATGTTTGTACGAGTTTGGCATAAAGGTCAGCTCGTTGATGTCTGACGCAAAACAGTCAAGGTTATGGTATTCGGAAAACCCGCCCTCTTGCTGGGGACTCTGAGGGTTCTGGGGGCTCTGGGGACTTGGATCATCTTGTTTGGAAATGAGGACAGTTTGCCTTCTGAACAAATGGATCTGAGTTCGCACCTTTGGCGATATCTTTATCTGAGAAGAGGGAGAGGTTGCGGCAATGAATCTCGGTAATGTGGGATGCCAGGCCACTTCAAAGAAGTTGGCAGTTGTAGCAGTTGTGACAGGAACTCGCTGATTCGACTCCGCATTCCAAAGAGTAATCTCTCCCGAGTTCTGTTTTTCGAAGGGGATGTCGTGGTCATCCCCAGAGAAGCTACGAGGAGAATATCCTACAGCTAGTAGATGCTGGCTTGTCGAGTCACGGCCCCACTGCATTGTTGCTGGGAAATATGCCCACTTGTCAGAGCCATCAGCGTCAGTCCGAGTACAAGAAAAGGAGACGTATGGGCTATTCGCAATGTCGTTCATGTTGATTGTGTATATCCGAATGGCCTCTGTAGGGACATCGGCCGCAGTAGCAACTCGTCCAGAGCCGTCCTTGGCCACGGAGACAAAATTTACGTTGCCGCCAAAGTACCAGGTGGCTAACGCAGTCATGTTGCTGCCAGATTTATCAACCTTCCACACTTTGACTGTTTTGTCGAAACTGGAGGTGAATGCCAGCCCTAGAACGCTATCGTAATCAGAGCATACAACCGACGAATACAGCCATGGGTCCTGGCTTTCACGCATGGCTGTCGTGGAGTTTTCTCCTTTTTCAACAAGGGGTCGTGGGATTCGGTGATCAGGAAACGCCTTAAGCTGCCCCAGCTTTGTCGAGCAAAGAAGTAAATTTCCTGGCTTATTATACTGCTGATTATGGCTATCCGAGTGTGCAGTTGTGCCGCACAAAACATTGTCATCCGGGATCCAAGTTGTCGTTGCAATGTCTCCGGCACAGTTTGTGTACTCTGCGACCAAGTCCAAGCTATCCTCGTGCGCCTTGCGAAACTCGTTTTGAAAGTTTTCATACTGGCGCATATGGGCAAATCCTCGGTTTCCTACCATTTCACGAGCTAAAAGCAAGGATGATAGTCGACTGGCACGTCTCTTCTCCTGTTGCAAACGAGATCCATTCGCTCTGGGATCGAGACTCAGGATTTGAGCTCGACTTGGCGGCACTGCCTTGCCCGCAAGCAGATCCGAACAGTAATTGCGTACATCTTCGACCGTCCGGTGCGGCAAACTGTTGTTAACAATTGACGGAACATTGAACTGGGGGCAGAGTCGCGCCAAATGTTCAGGGGTCGCAGGATAGCCCACGGGAAGATACATTGAGAAGCATGCCATGATTTGCCGAATTTCGTCAGATGTAAAGTCCACATGATACACAGCTGGGCTCTTCAGCTCTTCCACAAGGTCGCGGTATAAGCGATCAGCACCTTTGGCAATAAGTTCGCGATCTGATGCTGATTGGTAAGGCCGGTGTTCGAGGTCAAACCATGTATTTGAGGATGGTCCGCACTTGGTCGGCTCCCATCGACGCCCAGATCTTGTTCTCGGCGTATTCTCTTGTCTTTTGGGTATTGAGGTTTCCGGCTGTTTAGCAGCTATCTTTTTTATTTCTAGTGGAACCTGTTCCAATCTGGCAAGAGGTTGCACCTTCATTGGGGGGTAATGGGACTTGTAGTCGCTCGAACTTGGCATTTTTATAGGGGCGACACGATATTCCTTAAGCATCATGTCAGTTGAGTTCAACTTAGGTGTATGTTCTTATTCCACTTACAGGTCTCCCAGATAGCTCTTTAATAATTATTTTGGCTTTCGTAGCAGTCCATTCATCATCGGCCGGCAGCTTGTAGTCGTTGTTCTCATCTAATCGGGAGACAAAGAGCGGATCCTTGGCAAACATGGAAACGGCCTGTGCTCTTTGTCAGTTGTATGCTCAAGACAGGCCGATCTTTAGAATAATGCATACCTTTATCGCAATTTCATCAAGTATGTACTCGGAAGCTGGCATATCCCTCAGGGCCCGGCTCACATATGGAGAGACCTGTTTCCCAGCCCAATTAAGGTCAACACGCCTCCTCTTTGGCGGCGGCCCTTCATCCTGAGAGTCATTCTGCCGTCGCTGCGTATTGGAAAGACGATGTTGCTGCTGTTCGTTTCCGTTTCCGTTTGTGATTGCGATATGGCTTGGTGGCGGCGATGGCGTGTCAGTCAGGTCGATGACCATGGGCCTGGAAGGAGGAGAGGTAAGCACGAGGCTCATAGAGACGACCGGCTCGCCAGCCTCGGGCGAGCATCTCAAGCAGGCCAAACAGATTCTCTGACTCTTTAAACGCGGCTGAGGTTATCAACTTACCCCATCGCGTGCCCACACGTTCAAGCTGCTTGGATTCCTCTTTAAACAAGGGATACGTAAGGATGGGGCTCCTAAAACACGTCTAGAGGGGAACTAATAATAAGTGGGTCACGTGATATAATCTTACGTAATATATAAACACAGCTATTATCTCTTAGCAACATATATAAAGCTTCTTAGAAAGTTTAAAGGATTTAAACAAAGGGAAAAGATAAATATTAAATGTGTTAGGGTGATTTAATTATTATATTTTCTTGATAATATAGGTTAGTAGTGTAATATATATAGATATAATACCAGTATGCCAAAATTAACACTATTAAATGTGCCTATTCGACTTCATCTCTAGAGTTAATTTCAGCTCAGCTTAATTGATTTCCACTGGATTTTATAATTAGACCAAGCATCTCTTTGTTAAACGCGTGTACGATATCATTTGTCGCGCTTTAAGCAAATGCGCGCGTTGAGCTCTCGCCTGTTAATATAACCTCTCAATAGGCAAACATGCTCTAATTCTACTATTTAGCTAAACAATAGTATTCCAATACACTCGTTAGAAAAAAAGCGTCTCACCCAAACATCTTTTGTGTTTGGCCAATTGAGAGCACAGCTGATATTGCATGCAACCCCTGTTGCAATATGAGATCTGTGCATCCTTTTAGATTGCGATCGCGATCGCGACACGCATGACAAGCTCATCAGATGCAAGATATTAATTCTCGGTTAAAGACAATGCAGGTCCCACGCAGCCTATAAAAAGAGGCACTCCAATTTTTATCACAGGTACCTGTAATTAAATCCTTAAACAATTTCTAAAGCGCCATATCAATTGTGCACCGTGCATGTAACCTCCAATCCTAGTCGTGTCAACACTATCTCTGCGGCTTGTTCGGGTAACATCACCAGGTATTGCATTAGGCCATCTAGAAAAGCTTTAATCTACCATGGGGTAGTCGTATTGTACCTTGCGTTATTGAAGTATCGATAATATCTTGGACAAATAGGAAGCAAGGGGAGCAAGCTCGAAATGTTAAATTGAAATGCGCGCCTGCCGTGCACTGTGCATGAGCAGCGATATAAGCAACGCATGCAGCGTATAAAATGAGTGTTGTAATAAATATCATGTTGTAATTAGCCTTTGAGCTTGATAATATTTTAATTAAACATTTAAAAGTAATTCTAACCACCACATTAGGTAACTCGCGTATATCTTTTCTTATTACTTATTTATAAATAATAGTTTTGTTTGCTTTCTAGGTTAGGTACCCGTGGAACGAAGTGACATGTTAGAAGACCGAGTTCCACACATGTCCTCAGTCCACCGCGGTTTAACGGATCGACTTAGGTAGGCTTAAATACGCCTCACTCTCTTACCTGACATTATCTCTGGACAGCCCCGTTAGTTAGAGCGTGCATTTCGCAACTGACTTTACAACTATTGACCGCTTTGAACATATTCAACCCTGATCGCGAGTGGATTCTAGGCCATCTGGGCTGCATCAGTCCAACATTGTTGTATGATAGTCACTCATAAGGTGTCAGTCGCCTAGAAGCTAAAACGCTGAAAGGAAAAGCCTAGGTCTGAGCTATGGCTTTGTGGCTTGAAAGGGAACTACGAGGAAGAGGTTCTCCTCTTTGTTTGAAGGAGTTCAGAGATAAGCACAGTCTTTATTGAGCATTTAGCTGCAGAATCGTAGCTAGCTAGCTACTTGTCCCACTTTTCGACTTCACCACTCTTCTCTTTGTGTTCCAGCTTCCTGACATAAAGGAATCGTCGACATCGCATATAGCATATGAATGACCAAGTCCGAAAGGCATCGTAAAGAAGAAAAGACCCCCTTTATTAATTTATCTTTGATTCCTTCTCGTCTGTTTTATATTCATAACTCTTTCGCACTGACAAGCGAAAACACTCCCCCAAAAAAGGAAGCTTGCCGCCGTACTCTCTCTGCAAATACACACACACACTCCACATTCTTTACCGCCCACGGCTATTAGCTAGCAGATAACCGTAACTGATAACTAGCTATATATCCAAACATTAAAAAACCCAAAGAAAAATTCGCTCAGCAACAAACATCATGCCTGTTCATTTATCTATTCTTACAACTTGGCAGGGCCAGTCTCGGCGTTAATCTCCTCGTACATCTTGTCGATCTGAGCACGGAAGGCCTTGGCAGTTTGAGGCCGCTTCAGCTTAAGACTGTTGTCATGTTAGCGGCTGAGTTTTATGGTTGATTGTTTTTGCGTTTGTACTTACGTGGGTGTGAACAGCTCGTTCTGGATGCTAAAGGGCTCAATGTCAAGATAGACAGCGCGAACACGCTCAAAGCTGTTGAACTTTTGCTTCTGCGCAATCTTGTTGAGCACCTTGAGGAACTCTGCCTTAACCTTGGGGTGGTTGGCAGCCTCCTTGAGGGCCGGGAGGTCAGCGGCCGTGACGGTCTCGCCAAGGACCTTGCTGGCAAAAGGTGGGAAGTTCTCCAGGTCGATGCCAAAGATACCGACGAGTGCAGACTCCTTGGGGTCGCCGTGGACATAGGCCATTGCAACCAAGTTGGTGTTGCCCAAGTAGACGTTCTCGATACGCTCAGGAGAGATGTATTCACCCTGGGACAGCTTGAGAACGTTCTTCTTGCGGTCAATGATCTTGAAGCGGCCCATCTTGTCAATCTCGGCGATATCACCGGTGTGGAACCATCCATCGGACTCGATGGCCTTCTTGGTCTCCTCCTCGTTCTTGTAGTACTCGCGGAAAATGCATGGGCCTCGGAGAAGAAGCTCACCGCGGGGGTTGGGCTTGTCGTCGACGGTGTAGTCAAACTCGGGCACGGACTCGAGGCAGATTTCGACACAACCAGTTGGGGGTCCGATGTTGCCGAGACTGAAGTCTCCTGGAATCTGAACGGTACCAACGGCGTATGACTCGGTCATACCAAAACCTTGGTAAAAGTTGTTGCCAAAGGCAGCACGGAGGAACTCTTGAACATCAGGATCCAGCTGTGCGCTGCCGCTGATCATCGAGTGGGCCCTATCCAAGCCCACGGCAGCCCTGACCTTGGGGGTCCAGATACGGTCGTACAGGAAATGCGTGTTGTTCGCCTTGCCTGGTGGCAGACGCATGCTGGCCTTCTTGGTGTTGATGACCTGGCGAGACAGGGCTCCCCTGGTACCCTCGGCCTCGATGGTGGCGGTTCGGATTGCCGAGTTGAAGCGGTTGAACAAGCGGGGCACAGAGATGAAACCGGTGGGCTTGAGAATCTTCATGTCGTCGACCAGGCCCAGGATATCGCCACGGAAGAAGCCAATGCTGGCACCTTCGGACAGGGCAACCTGATCAATCATTCTGCCGTAGATGTGAGCAAGAGGCAGATAGGACATGTGAACGTCCTTTTCAGTCACCGCACCCTGCAGGCGGCTGGAAGAGATGGCAGAAACGGCATTGCCATGAGTGATGACAACACCCTTTGGCGCACCAGTGGTTCCCGAAGTGTAGTTGATTGTGCAGAGGTCGTCCCACTTGGCCGGGCGCATGGGGCGGCCAGACTTGGCGCCAATCTCCTCAACCTCCTTGAAAGAGTATATCTTGATGCCGTGCTGAGAAGCAATGTCGTTCAAAACAGCGCCCTTGGTCAGACCCTTTTGCTCGCCTTGCTCGAGCTCGTCAAGGGAGACGATCAGCTTGAGGGATGGGATTCGAGGGGCCAACTTCAAGAGAGTCGGGATATGAGGCAGAGAGCAGACGACACAGGCGAGTTCGGCATGGTTGATGATGTACTCGGAAGTGTCCGGACCAAGAGTATCATATAGTGATACGGTGAAGAGAGCCTGCGACGCAAGAGCAAGATCTACAAATCGAGATTGTGTTAGTTGGTGATATGTAGTGGGCATTGGGAGAGCGCGGGGAATCGCGCAAGGCTGGCCTACCGGTGATTTGCCATTCGGCGCGATTCTGAGACCAAAGTCCAACGGGATACTTGTCTAGAGTGTGGCCGACACTCTTGTGGATTTCGACGAGACCGGCTCCCAGATTCTTGCGACGCTCGGCCACCTCGCCATACGTCTCCCATTCATATGTGTCTGCCCATGATTGCGTGCTGGGGTTCCAGAGACGGGTGCCGAGGCAGCGCTTGCTGGGGCGCTTCTTAACGGCGTTTTCGAACAGATCGTGGACCGATTGGATCTCGGGGTTGAACGTGGTCAGGAGTGGGCCATCGCCAATCTTGTGATGGCGGTAGATGGCGGTACGGCCGGGCCGTTCTGTGCCTGCGATGGCAACACCATGAGGAGCGCCGGGCGCAGGCGGAGTCGTCAAGCTCTTGATGTACGCCGCCGTGTCCTTGGTAGCCAGTGCCATTGTGTCGAAGGGGGATGAACTAGTGGCTGACCGCGTGTTGATATTTTACAGCTTTAAAGGAAAGGGTCCGCAACGCTCGCGATGCCTACGAGAATTGAGAAGACAATGTGAAAAGGGAGGGAAGATTAGGCGACGTGTAGGGGCCTGGGGAAGGGAAAAAGAAAAGGCGAGGATGGTTGCAAGGGAAAGGGAAAAAAAGAAATCTGGCGATGAGGTCGGGATGTGGAGGTTTAACCAAAGTCATGGGCTGCTGAAAGGGACGGCCGAGGTTCGCGGGGCCTCGGCAGCCCCAGATTTGGGATTTGGTCCATGTACATGGCCTGCGCCCAGCATACAATGCTGTGGCCCAGCCCGCCAAATCGCAGAAGCCGTACAGGTACAAGCGCGATGCTAGCGCTGTGTCGGAGTGCCTAAACCGCTAGCGGCCAGCCCCCAACGAAATCCACTGAGGCGTCCCACCCGCGGAGTTTACAGCAGAGTTGTGCCCCGTGGATAGCGCTCTGGCATCGCTGTGACGGGCTCGGAAAGACTCAACCCGATCAAATGTCAATCCAAAGATTGCGTCCTGGTAGTACGAGTAATACTTGTACATGTATGCCGGCGGCTGACAATCAAGGTTCTCACAGCGGCCGGCTAGCCGTCAGCATCTGCCCGTCAGAAACGGAGTTGATAAGATAGATCAAATAGGAGCTCGTCGATATGGCTTTTGCCGAGTAAATAGGCCTTAGGGCGAGATAGACAAGAGCTGACACGCTGCACCCATGCATATTTGAACCTAGATAGAAGTATTATGTACTGGTACGGCGTTAATTATTGTTTAAATGTCTTCTAGTAATACAACTACCCAGCCCGGCTGTCCTGGGTAGTTGTAGGAGTTGACAGTTCATTGACTTTGCTATCAAGTGTGGACACTATTGTAGAAGAACGTCCTAGCGAGGCCGACTATTTGTCGAACAAAACCCCAAGATTGAAGCCGACGCGAATTGAAAGGTGATGAACCTATATTGGCGGCTTACTTGTACTTGTAGTGCAACACCGTCAAGGCACGTAAGCACACATCATCCCATCGTGACGGAAAAGCGTATCCGTACGAGTACATACACACTCCGTCGCACAAGAAACTGAAAAGTCCGGGATCCCGTAGTGACGTCGGCTGTTTCGGGGAATAATAACCACTCAGTGGCGACTCTTGTGTTCCCAACGCAGGCGAGCCGGATGCTATTTTGTCTCTCCGTCGACCTCGCTGTAATTGTATTGATCCTTTCTAACCCAAGCAACTGAATTCTATATCAACAAAACACTCAACACTCTCTCAAAAGCAGCACAGCGGAATCCGGGGCACATCTGGGGAGACTCGCAGCTTGGCTCATCCGCTAAAGCACGGCGGTGGGCCTCGGCCCAGGGCACTCTCCCCTCGCCCCGGCCAATCACGCCGTCGCTATTCCATATAGCGTCTCGTTTCGGCATGTGAAACTCGAGCTCAGAGGCAAGAACTTGCGGACGGCGTTCTGCAAAGGGCTACTTCGGCCGGATGAATTGACCCTTCGATTTGGAGCTTGAAACGTGTCCTGTTACGGAGTAGTGCCGGTGGTTGAAGGGACGCAAGCTCGGAAGTACAAAGTCGATAACTTCTCCGCTCTCTCTTTTCCCCGCGTTGTCGCACAGATTGAGAGCCGAGGCCATCACGACCACTGCGCCGCTTAATAAGCATGCTCTGGGGTAAGAGATGCCCGTCTTATAGAAATCTGACAACAACAATTGCCAATAAATTCGACTACGATAACTTTTGATACAGCTGATGCAGCCCGCAAAACTTCTTTGTTGGATGGATTATCTTAACTGATGACGTGTATTGTACCATAATACGGTTTAAAGAGAATCCCAGCTGCAGATTCAGTAGTCGTCGTACTCGTTCATATATACATTGCCCAACTATAGAAATATGAGCCGCAGCGATAATATCTGTATATACGTTTTACAGGAATTCAACAAGCACTACCACCACTTTGAGGTATTTCATTAAGTTCCTACAAGATCGTGATTCTAATAATAATATTCGATTGCTATTTCTAAACTACAGTACATGTGAGCACACGTCGTCGAGATTTGTGTGATGTGGCTCTTCCACGTTTTACACATCCATTTCGATCTGAGACTATATCACGATGCACCTGAGCCTTAAAACATCAAATGCATCACATTAGATACCTATAATGCTTATTCCGGCGCAAACAATTGAACAAAGCGCTCATCGTTTTCCTTCTGCGTATATCCTCATTCCACGCTGGGCAGGCCTCTAACCCGCCCTTTTTTCGTCTCCCTTCAACCAGTAATTCTACATGTCTGAGACATACCGCAGACGCGTAGGCAACCTCATGCTGCCACTCGATAGACTTGGTGCTAATAATAAATGAATTCCACGCCAACTATTTCTTGGCAGGACCTGCTTCGCGACTCTCACCATTGTTCAATCTCTTCGCATAACGGTCTTTTGCCATGTCGCAAACTCTCATCCTCTGCTTTCGGGCCTTTCAAGCCCTCGCGGCTGCTGCTGGTATCGGCTTGGCAGCATACGGTAAGCTTACTTCAATCAATCTGCTTCTCAGAATCCTGTTGGCTCACTCTTGGCTCCTCGCAGTTGTGAATTGGCATCTCAGGGGCCCGCACCTTTCGACGCCACCCTCAATCAGCTTCTTCCTCTTCTCTTCAATCTTTTCCGTCTTTTCCATCTTATATCTCGTATTCGCGCCACGGTTTGCCCCGAAAGCTACCCACCCAAAGATTTCCTTGAGCGTTGAAGCCATCAACTGTATCTTCTATTTTGCAGGATTCATTGCTGTGGCCGTCTGCCTGGGTGATCTGGCCTTTTGCACCGGCTCAGTCTGCATGGCAGGCCGTGGTACTGCAGTGCTTGCAGCGGCACAATTCAGCTTGTGGATGGGTTCTGCCATTATTGCGGCCAAGGCCATGGTCAGGGATGAGAGACGGACGAAGTTGCTTAGCAGGAGACGAAACACCCAGAGGAACTTTGAGCGCGTTTGATCAAGTATGGGATACATACATATATTGGAGAGTATGAGTGGGAAGAGAGAGGGACCGTACAGACTGCAGAATGAGTATACCTAGACAGAGGCTTATTGGGCACATTCATCTTATGAGTAGCATGAGTTATGACTAGAAACATGGCGGCCAAATACATGTAGCATGCGAGTTCGGTAGCTCTGGCGGCATTCTGGTTGAGACGGGATAGGTGAAGTACTTGTAGCTACCTAGGTAGTTTATGTATGCAGTTGAAAAAGTCTTTTATTTGCTTGTTGATATTTGGTAATCCTTATAATTATTATCTATGACATCCCCACACATGGAGGACGAGAAGTATCGAAGCCATCGTTAAAATTCTTGAGAGGCTATTTGTGCCAGCTCGCAGCAAGACTACCAGAATGTTTAATAATCGAATGAGAGATAAGAAAGAGAGAATACAGCGCAGTGGAAATCAGAGTTGACAAGGGCGCATGTCGTATATCATGTTCATTACTCAGCAGTCCACGATAGTTTGTCTCCATGGCCGTCCAACAAAGGCAAGTGATTTGCTAATCATGCAGTGATCCCGCGAATCACATTGTATAGCTCGTAGTTCTGTCTATTGCGCCTCGTCTCCAGTCACACCAGTCACCAATTCTCGCTAATTTTCCTAATTCGCTGAAAGAGGCAATCGGGACTATTTGTATGCAATTTTCAACCGCTCTGGTTCATTGGCTGGCCGCAGGCTGGGGACTTCAAACGTGGTGCATGACGAGCTTCAGATGCGGTTAGTCAGAGTCGTTTTGAGACAACCACCCTTTTGACTTGACATGTTCGAACAAGCAGTGCCGTGGATATGCGGGCAAAAGCTGTTCTCGTATATGGCAAGCAAAAGCCTCTTGTTTTGCTTTTAACTGCCCATGATCAGATCATGGCAGCTCTTTCGCCACACAAGACAAATTTGATGTTCTGGCTAAATCCGGGCTATAAGAGCCGGGAATGTGCCTTTTTGATGGATATACAGATACTAGAGTGCGAAACCGGCCACGGCAGGAAACGAAACAAGAGATTGATGAGGGGCTAAACGGGTTTTCCTTAGGTTAGGATTACATGTACGTGCAATTAATTAGCATCTACCCCTCCAAGAGGCCCTTTTTCTGTCCGCTGGTGAAATGACGCGAGAATTGGCGATTGCGTGCTCGGGACGGCTTCATGGACCCCCACACTCACATTCACACTTCGGGGTCTGCATCGGTCGAGCGCAACTCGCGTCTAACCGTACAATTAACGAGTATTACCCCGTAATTGTAGCAAGGATAGCTAGCAATCAACCATAGTAACACACAAGTCACTTTTCATGTCTTACATCCAGGTATCTAGTGGCTGGGCGGCTGGACCCCGAGAGCAGCTACTAAGTCCCCGAGAGCAACTACTAAGAACGGCGGTGCTAGTGGAAGCTTGATATAAATATACTCGACCGCGCTCTTGTTGAGCCGAACTTCCTGCTGCCCCCCCCCCCTTCGGCTCAATCTTTATTCCCGCGTCAGCTTCTTCTTTTTTTCTTTTCGTACCTTTTGTCAACATTTTTTTCTTGTTGCTTCAACTTTGATTCACAATGGCGGACAAGCTCAGCACCAACTTTGAGACACTCCAGCTTCACGCGGGGTAAGTTGACGTCAATCTTCAAAAGTCAATTCAACAAGCGCGGGGCAGTTGCGCATCTGTTTTTGCGCTCAGCTTGCTATTCGTTGCCTTGTAACTGAGCACAGAGACTCACGATGCTGGGTTTCTGTATCTGTGTGAAGACAATACCACATGAAGACATGAAAACTCAAGACAACTGATAATCGAGAGAACATCTCAATACTAACTTCATCTCATCTTCTAGACACTCCCCCGACTCGGCTACCAATGCTCGAGCTGTTCCCATCTATGCTACCACTGTGAGAATGAATCCGCGCTCATGGCTCAAGCTACAAGCTCGCCAAATTCTTAGCAAGCTGACCAAGTCCCGTATTGCAGAGTTTCGCCTTCAACGACTCCGCCCACGGCGCGAGACTCTTTGGCCTCAAGGAGGAAGGCAACATCTACAGCCGTATTGGAAACGTGAGTAGCTACCCCGGGTCTCTGACAAATCGGCACAAAAACTCACGAGACTCTCTTTCACACAGCCCACCGTCGATGTCTTTGAGAAGCGGATAGCTGCTCTCGAAGGCGGTGTTGCTGCTCTGGCCACCTCCTCCGGCCAGGGTGCTCAGTTCATTGCCCTCACTGCCCTCGCCCAGGCCGGCGACAACATCGTCTCTACTTCCAACCTCTACGGCGGCACCTACAACCAGCTCAAGGTCACCTTCAAGCGCTTCGGCATCACCACGAAGTTTGTCACTGGCGACAAGCCCGAGGACATTGCTGCTGCCATCGACGACAACACCAAGGCCGTCTACCTCGAGAGCATCGGCAACCCCCGATACAACGTTCCCGACCTTGAGGCCATTGCCAAGGTTGCCCACGATAAGGGCGTTCCCCTCGTTGTAAGTAGTCAAGCCGTGGTCTTTGGGATATTCAAACTGACAAGCAGTAAACTAGGTTGACAACACTTTTGGTGCCGGTGGATACTTTGTCCGCCCCATCGAGCACGGCGCCGACATCGTCGTTCACTCTGCCACCAAGTGGATCGGCGGCCACGGAACCACCATTGGAGGTGTCATCATCGACGCCGGCAAGTTTGACTGGGGCAAGAACGGCAAGCGATTCCCTCAGTTCATCGAGCCCTCCGAGGGCTACCACGGCCTCAAGTTCTGGGAGACCTTTGGCCCCGTCTCCTTCATTGTCCGCGCTAGAGTCGAGCTCATGCGAGACATTGGTGCCTCTCTCAACCCCTTCGCCGCCCAGCAGCTCATCCTCGGTATCGAGACTCTCAGTCTCCGTGCCGAGCGACACGCCCAGAACGCTCTGGCCTTGGCCCGACACTTGGAGAAGAGCCCTTACGTCTCTTGGGTTTCTTACCCTGGCTTGGAGAGCCACGCGTACCACGAGACTGCTAAGAAGTATCTCAAGAGGGGCTTCGGAGGCGTCTTGAGCTTCGGTGTCAAGGGCGGCGGCTCTGCTGGCAGCAAGGTTGTCGATGGCTTCAAGCTGATCACCAACCTTGCCAACGTCGGTGATTCCAAGACCCTGGCCATCCAGTAAGTGTTTGAAAGTTACCCGGCAACTACCTAAAGAAAACTAACAGAAACCTCTCACAGCCCCTGGACGACCACCCATGAGCAGCTGAGTGAGGAGGAGAGAGTTAGCTCTGGTGTCACTGAGGTAAGCAGAAATCACGACCGAATTCGCGCGAAATAAGCTGACTTGATGTTTTCTTAGGATCTTATCCGAATCTCCGTCGGTACTGAGCACATCGACGACATCATTGCCGACTTTGAACAGTCATTCAAGGCCGCTGGTCTCAGCAACTAAGACTTAGTCCCCTTCTTGGTTTAATGTAAATAACAAGCAATGATGAACGAAATGAATCCACAAGTGTCGCGCGAATCATGATGGCAAAAAACAACGTATTAACGTACGACTACCGAGTTTCCCATCCGAAACTGGCGCTGCGGAGAAAAAAGTGTAAAAAGAACGCGACGGGTGGCTTTTTATCTTTTGGGACATGGGAATAACGGGAGTCGGTGTCTTGTCAAATCCAAAGCCGGAAAGCCACTACGCTTCTCGGTTATGAAATATTAGCGTTAACGCATTTCAAAGCTCAAAGAGAACTTGAGATAGAGAGAGTTCACAATTCAATCGTCGTTAAAAACGGTACTCTTAATTATGCTTTGTTTTGTCCATCGTGACTTGATGCTAGTTTTTGTGGCACCCCGAGCGTCATCTTGCTTTCCCGCTTACTTAAACCCTAGAGCGAGTTAAGATGCCCATGAAAATAACGCATGCGCCACGCAGACGGCAGTTACAATGTGCCAAAAGGTTCCCTTGCAGGGAAAAGTTTCGATTGGTCTGACGACGGCAGATCTCAGTCGGTGTGTAATTACCTCAAGCCTTGTTTGTGAAAGGCAAAGGGTGAGGCCTCCGTTTAGAATAGCCGGATTTTAAGAGTTATCGTTGCACATCCAGTTATACAGTATCACATGTCGAGAGTATTAGCGTCTATTACCTGCCTATGTGCAACCTTGAAGTGCCCTTTCACTCGTAATCCATTTCAATGATGAAACTTGGTTTTCATCGATTCCAACTCTCTCAGTTATTCAGCAAGAGGCAAGATGAACAGTGGTGACGATGCTTTAAGCGCAGCCATGCCTGAGATTGATGAGGCTGTCGAGACTGGAGCGGATAGCTTTTTCGCTGATGAGGACCAGCCTTTACAGCCTCCAGATGTATTTACCTCCATCCATCGGTAAGTGCATGTTATAATGGAACAGCCATTTGAGCAAATGAGTAATTGCTTCACACTTGTATCGCTCCTTTTCTTATTATTCCTCCCGGTTTATCAGCAATAAAGCTCTCCTTGTAAACGGCATGCTAATTGGTCAGTGCATGATCAAGCGTGCGAGCCCTCATCATTGCTAGCATTGGTAAGTCGAGTTGCGCTCATCATATATCAATCCTGCAGCAGTAGATTAACAATTCGATAGAGGATCCTTACACCCTTGACCAGTTGACAAGCCCACGGGTCAACACGCTCGTGGTTCGCCCATTAGTAGACAGGCTATATGACCCTGATGACATGTCCATAGGTCTGCTCACCTAACACCCTTCGCTCGTGCCATGTATTTGCAAGTCGCTGCGCACCTGTTGGATCAATATCCATGTTTCTGTATCTGAATCAAAGACACATCTTCAAGAAAGAAACAAATCCGGATACCATGGCTCACATGACGGGGTGATAGTGTACTGCCTCCTGGCCAACCGTCTCCAGTTCCTCAAAGAGCAAACCGCCGCCAAACACCAAAGCGTCAGCAGCGCTCGAGCAACTCTTTGCGAAATCGTCGCCACCAAAATACTCCGCAAGTTCCATGAAGTCAATTCCCCCGAAAAGGCGGGAAGCGCTGGCCTACTCCGGCTGGCCAACGTTCTAGTGCAAGGCTTCGATCCCTTCTCCGGCGCCCCCGAAGACGTCGCCCGGGCTGGCAGATATACGCATTGGCCAGTCCAAGAGCGCGGCGGCAACGAGAGGAAGCTCACGGCGCTAGAACTGGCCATCTTGTCGGAGAGCAAAACCATGATGAGTTCGCCGGCGTGTCTGCGAGTGGTGAATGCAGTATACGAGGGGCAAGTTGTGTACACGCCGATATCATTCGTAGATATCCTCCCGGACCATTACAAGCATCACCCGGTGTCGTTGTATGATCCGCGCAAGGCGCCGCTGCTGGACCACTACCGATTGATCGTCCCAAAGTGGAGGAGCTTGCTCGAATCAATACAGTTCATGGTGTTGCTGGGGCTGTATATCTTGACCATGGTGAATCGAGGCAGCCCAAGCTCTCTGAAACTCTATGAGAGCCTCTTTGCCGTTTATTCGCTAGGATGGATTCTCGATGAGTTTGCGGCCATCATCGAGCATGGATGGGCGGTCCACGCTCAAAAGACGTGGTCATTCCTGGACGTGACATTTACAGTCATCTTCTGTGCCTATCTCTTTGCACGGGTATATGATGTTATTATACCCGTTGCTCAAGACACAGGTGGAACAAACTCTGCAGCGTTACATATTCTGTGCGTCGCAGCTCCAGTACTGCTCACACGAGTTGCTTTCAGCCTCATGCCAGACAACATCGTCTTTATCTCGATGCATGCCATGATGAAGGACTTTCTTGTGCTGACTTTTCTCACCCTGTGGTGCGTGGGAGGATTCTTCCTGGCACTGCAGTGGCTCTTGATGACAGGCCAGGGCTCGGAGCCCAAGTGGTATACAGTCGCGAAATGGCTTCTGTGGATCTGGTTCGGGCTCGACGGCACGGGCATTCAAGAGTCTGTGCAGTTTCATGTCGTCCTTGGCCCTGCCCTCATCGTGGCATTTGCATTCTTGGGCAACACGCTGTTCTTGACGATTCTCGTCGCCGTGCTAACAAACACCTTCTCGCGCATTGTGGCTGCTGAAGCCGCCGAGATTCAGTTTCGTCGAGCAGTCCTCACCTTTGAGTGCGTGAGGAGCGATGCCATCTTTGCCTATCCGCCTCCGTCCAACATGCTAGCCCTCATCTTCATGCTGCCCCTGAAGTTCCTCGTCTCGGCACGCACATTTCACACCGTCCACGTCGCCATCGTGCGGGTTCTTAACTTCCCTGTTCTATTATTTATCAGCTTATATGAACGCAACTTGTTCAAAGTTGGCGAATCAACTCGCAGCGTCAAGTCGAACCAACTTCTCAGGTGGCGCTTCACCGGCTTCAACCCGCATGGCGACATCGAAGCTGTCTTTGAAGCAGATCCACCAACAGATGCAATGGAAGAGGCTGGCGAGCTGGACGGGCTGAGTGAGCTCGGATTCACCGACGATGGTATATCGAGATCTTCAAGAGATATTAGGAGGCCAATGGTGTTTAGGCTAAGCAATTCGAAAAGCAGAGATGAGACTTTGGAGATGCTGGGCAGAGGATGGAGCCCGGGGGTGGAAGGCATAGGACCATCTCAGGGGACTGGCGATTCATGATATTCTAATTGTATGAAAGATGGAGATATAAAAAAACAAAAATAAAATTGAATGAAGAAATAAATGCTGTAGGTATTCCAGACAACCTGGAAGGTCCACAGGAGCTCAAAGCTCAATGATACATTGCTGTGGCGCTCAACCAATTGCAAGCCTCACAGCGCCTAGCTGCTCGCTGTTTTGGGTGGAGGAAACCAGTACTAAGCCACACATACATCCCGCACCAGCCACTCCGCCAATCCCACCTCCAACTAGATAGGCCATCTGTTTTCCACCATCGTCATCCATCTTTCCGTCCAAACATCCAAGCTAAATGCAACTCTCGCCATGGACTTGAGGATTCTCCTAAGCCTGGCCTTCGCCGCCCTCAGCGCCGCCCAGCTGACAATCACCGTCGGCCTCCCCGCCAAGCCGAACCCGTTCCTCCTCGGCCCCAGCACCCACGCCACGCTGTCCAGCCTGCACAAGCGCCTCGAGGCCCCTCTGACGACAGTCAACACCTTCAACTTCCACAACGTCACCGCCGACTCGTACCTGCTCGACGTGCACTGCGCCACGGAGGCCTTTCACCCGCTGCGGGTCGACGTCGGCGAGGATGGCGAGGTCAAGGCGTGGGAGACGTATCGTGGCAACGAGTGGGCGAACAAGGGCGAGGAGGTGCAGGTGAAGAGCGAGGGCGGAGCGAGGGGCATCAGCGTCAAGGGTGCGGGATCCAAGATCTTCTTTGTGGAGAGACCGGCGTGTAAGTCCCTGGACACTATTTGCTCTGTATTCTATATGGAGCTGGACTGATTGAACTGACTGACTGATGTGCTTTCATATAGTTTCCGTTTTCAGCATTCTCAAGAATCCCATGATCCTGATGGGTCTGGTTACGATGGGTATTGTCTTTGGCATGCCATACCTAATGGATAACAGTACGTCTTTTTACATCTTCACGCCTTGATTCTAGAGGAATGAAGTCTCTGTCTATGGACTATCTAACGTTATGGCAGTGGACCCTGAGCTGCGCGCCGAGTTTGAAGAGCGACAAAAAGAGAACCCCATGAACGCCATCATGGGCAACGCTCAAGCTGGCCAAAACCCGCTTGGCAACTTCGACATGGCGGCCTACCTAGCAGGCTCAGGCAAAAAGGAGGGTGTGAAGAGGTGAAATGAGGTCTTAATGTGAGGAACGTAGATAAGAGATGGGGATTGGGAGATTGTACATCTATGCTTTATAATCCTTTTGATTTCAAGGCAGAGCTCTGAAGAACTTTGAAAAATCTCAGGGCTTTTTTTTATGTTGTATCATCAGCTTCATGCTTCATGTGATTGGCGTTATTCCGTAACGCCGTCCTCCTAATCCTAGCCAAAAACGACAATATCAAGTCTTTGTCTTGTGAATAGCTAAAAACAGACCAATCCGGCAAACAAACAAATTACCACACGTCATTCTTTCCTCCAGCCACGCATCATGTATATATGAATGTAGTTCGCTCAGCCACTAATTAGAAGTCACCGCCGCCATCATCGTATCCGTTGTCAAACCCATTGTCATATCCTTGGTCTGTGTCGATATCAGTTAGTCAAGATTCTCGTTTCAACCAAGCCTTCGTTCCAAAAGGGGGGAAGTCACTCACCATAGCCGCGGTCATATCCCTCGTCTTCAAAGTGATCAATCGCGTCATCTATCAGCAGACCACCCACAACACCACCAGCTAGACCGAGGGCAGCTCCTCCGGCCAAACCGAGACCACCTCCGCTCTTCTTCGCAGGCTGCTGCTGCGGCTGCTGATAGCCATAAGCAGGCTGGCCGTAAGGAGCAGGAGGAGGAGCACCGTATCCAGGAGCATATCCGCCTCCGTAGGCAGCAGGCGCTCCTCCATATGGAGAAGGAGCCTGACCATATGGAGCCGGAGGGGCGCCATATTGCTGCTGAGGAGGGCCGTAGCCACCGTAGCCGCCAGCGCCGGGGGCACCGGGGAAGCCGCCGGGAGATTTACCAGCGATCTTGCTGGTCAGCTTGCCCAGAAGACCTCTCGACTCGCCCTGTTGCTGCTGCGGCTGAGGTGTGCCATACGGGCTGTTTTGCGGAGGAGGGTACGGGCTGGTGCTCTGCTGGCGGTACGAATCGGCAGCACCTCCGGAGTAGTTGTTGTATCCGGGAGGGTTGGAAGAAGCGCTGCGAGCTCGGGCGTTTTCTTCGGCCTGCATCTTGGCTGCCAGGCGAGCATCCTCGTCTTCCTGCGCCTGCCTTGATGATGAGCCTCCAAAGTTGTTGCTCTGATCGCCATAGGGGTTCGTCTTGGTATCGGACGTGCGGGGAGCGTCGTGGCCGTCGTAGCCTGGAGGAGGCCCGGAAGGCGGGGCGTCTCCGTCAGGGAAGACAGGACTGGTGGGCTTGTCCCATTGGGACTTTTTGGTGTAGATGTTTACGTAGAACCTGAGAGAGGCGAGTGAGCTGAGGAATCACCGGGTTGGGGGGCGGAGAGGGTCTTTGTCGCGAAGAGCCAGATGTCGAATTATTAATGGGATAACGTAGGCTAACATACCATTCTTTGTACTGGTCGTTCCACCGAGCGGCCCAGCCAGCGGGAACTTCGGGGGCCTTAGGCGGCGGAGGCCCTGTAGGAGGAGCGTAGTCGGACATGAGAGTAGCTCTTGGCTATAGGAAGTCGAGATGTTTGATGGAGAGGAGGAGGTGAGAGTGAGCGAAGGAGAGGAGGTGGTCGTTAAAGAGGAGGAGGAGGGGTGGTTTAGCGTATGACCCCCCCTGCTAACTGCTTCGGCGGCGACAACAGACGGGCCTTTTCGATGGCGAAATAGGAGAGGGCAGACAATAATTGTAGGGAGTTTTGTTACTCGTGCGGATAATAGGTATCAACGGTCAATTATCCAACACTTCAAAGATGTCGTGCAACGTCTCCCGAGCTTCCTTGAAATCTTTATATATACTCGACACTTGATACTTGATTTGTACCTAACACATGCCGCCAAGCCCCCAAAAAGGTTCAGGTCCCCTAACGGATCCCCCACAGGCGGCCGCCAACCGCTACAGCAGTGGACAGACACTCGTGGAAGCTCGCTGGAATCGGAAAATGCGAGGCGCAGCAGGACCACGTATGTGCATCTAACATGCGTGTATTACATGGTACCACATGCATGGTTTGGGTGCCGGCGATCCGGGCGAGCTCCTCTATATTGTAGCCCTGAGTGTCCCCAAGAGACCTGGAGCTTTAGAGTTGAGCAGAGTCGTGTTGCTATGTGTTTAAAACGACAGTTCATGTTCCGTACAAGTATTGGTTGGTATGGCTGCATCTGCTGCCCTCAACCTTCATCACAGACAATTCTCTCTACACTTGGCACTCTTCACTTCTCCCCTGCCAATCACTCACCAAACGCAGATCCCGCCCCCCGCCATGCCACTGCAAACAAGGAGAAATATTCCTCATGCTCCGTCCGGGTGACTAAACGAACCAACACCTGATAACGAGCCTCGGCGCCTGTCAACCCCGACTCAGCCACATGGAGGTCCTCCTGCACTGCCACGAAATCCAGGCGGTCATCCATTTTTTTGTCCTGGGAATTGCCACATTGTGGCTCAAAGCAAGAGGTTACGCCATTTCGAATGTGTCTCAATTGCAACTCGGACATTTGACTTTCCGACTTCTCTTCAGTTTTTGTCAAAAGCGGCCCTAAGAAATAAGAAAGACCACATGCATAAACTGTAAACTTTATCCAGCGGTTTTTAGATATTGTGCCATTATGTAATCTGCCAGGAACGTCTCTTGTAGTCTGTAACAGCAATTCCAAATATCTCCACCTGTTCAGTTCAGATAATTGCTTTGGAATCTTTGGCCTGTAAATCTCCAGGCTTTCAATAATCAATTCAGCCAATGATTTGGAAAGAAATATGCCTTGCCTACCATTCAAGTAGCTCCAAGTCAACTCTCAATCAAAGGAAACTTCAATAGAGATATTGAGATGGAACTTATACCTTCTGTCCAACTTTTGTTAACCACATAACGTATCGCCAACTCAGTATGTCGGTTTACCAAAACATGTAGATACTCTCTCCGTAATATATTCTTACATCTCAGCCGTCTTCATGATACAACGCCTATATCGGACAACACAGGCCCGGACAGTCGTACTCTACATACCTCCCACGTCGGAATAAACCTCTTCTCCTCCGAGAACTGTCAAATCCCCTCTCATCAATTTCATTTTCATTACCAATATCAACATTTCAACATGATAACGTTGATGTTCCAGCCGAGCCATTCACCAGTCCAACCTCGAAATAGGAATTATCCCGAGCCACTGCTCGGGGCTCCCTCCGGTGTCCGACGCCGGTCTCCGCATCTCCGTCAAGCGTCAACCGAATACCTACCGACGACTACACGATGAATCCCGTAAGTCAGAAACGTGGGGATGGCCCACTAGACAGTCGCTGATATGCGGAGTAATGGTGTACATAGAGGCACCTCACTTGAAGATGGACATGGAACAGACCCATGTAAACAATAGGCATATTGAACGATAGATTTTGTGTTTTCACCAGTAACCACCGACGTGTATTCATTCGTTTCCACTCAGCAGATATTTCGTCCAGAGCAGATCTATAATAAAAATAGTGGTGCATATAAAACAATACACACACAATTCCTGAATAACAAATCCCTACACAAGGGGGCAATTGTCTCCTTATGAAGAGAGGTAGTAAAAAGAACATAAAGAGTAGACCAACTCGAGAGATGCCATCTCAACAAGTCCGCCGTTGAAGATTATTCCCACCACCGTCATTTCATCATTTGCATGTAAATAAGAACCCAAATCTTGAAAACATTCATTACCAATCATCGAGCCCTGTTCCCAAACGCCGTCTAATGCTTAGCCGTGACCTGATCGCCGGTCAATTTCTCCACGTAAGTTTTAGCCCTATTTGACATATTAGTTAGCAAACCGTGGTGTATAGAGTGTATCTGTTGGGGGAAAGGGAAGTACTCACATATCTCCAACAGCAACCATGCAAATCGTCTGCCAAACGCCGAGACCAATACGAGGAGTAACACCTCGGTAGAGACCCTTGATACCATTGTTCGAGTAAATGTAGCGGAAAGTGTTGCCGACTGTCATCTTCTTGGGTCGGTTGGGGTCGTCCTTCTTGCTCTGCATCTCGACACGGATGACCTCGATGGGCTGGTTCCAGGCACTGAGACCACCACCGAGAGCGCTAGCAAGAATCTTCTCCCCGGGAGAGAGCTTGTCGCTCTGCTGCTTGCCCGTGGCCGAGCGGATCCAGCCCTCGGCCAGTCGGCTGAGACCGAAGCGAGATCCCCAGTTGGTCATCTGTCGGATGGCGACAGCGTTGACACCCTTGTTGATGCCGCGAATGCCCTCCTTGCGGTAAATGTCCATGAAGGTCGCGAAGGTGGACTGGGGCTTGACGCCGGCGGCAGCCATCTTGTGCTGGGTGATCTCGACCGTCTTCATGCAGGTGCAAAAACCCATGGTGGCGTAGGCCTGGGCAACACCACCAGTGATGCCGCCAAGAATGCCACCGCCAAACTCAGAAGCACCCATGTAGCGAGCGTAGTACTCGGCCTCGGAGGCAACGAAGAGCAGCACCGCGCCCTTGGTGGAAGCCTCAATCCAGGCCCAGGGAATGAGACCCTGGTAGACTATCGTAGAAACAAAAGAGATTAGCCAGCCGTCTTCAGCTTTCAAAAGAGAGTTGCGGTCGTTTTTGACTTACAGCCGAGAGGACCACCTCGACCCCAGATACGACCCAAAGCCGTGGAGAAGCCATCACCACGGTTGGCAGCCATGGTGGTCTTGACGACCTCGAGAGGCTGGCCCAGAGTGGTGACCTCGAACATGTTGAGACCGGCGCCCAGCAGCAGGTTGGAGAACTTGATGGGCTTCTTCTCCAAGTGCGGCTTCTCCGCGATGGGAGCTTCGATAGCGGCGGCGACCATGACTTCTGGATGGTTTTTCTGAAAGGGGCCCTGACCAAGGGAATAGGGTGCTTCTTCGCAAGGGGGCGTTTGGAGATGTTTGGGAAAGTTTGCAGAGAAGAGGGGAGAGAGGGAAGAGAAGGCAGAAAAGGGGGGGTTTGTTGAGGCTTTGGTACTTGTACTTGCTGCTAACAGCTCCTAGAACAGAGCCGGATTGCGCGCGACAAGGCTTAGCTGGCTGACTAAGGAGGATGCGTGGAACGGGATCGGAGGGAATGCGAACAAAACAGATAAGCGGTCTTCGGAAGGGAGGTCAGCAAAGTTCGGCCAGGATAGGAACCGGGCCGAGGACCGACTTGGATGGGCTGGCTGGCTGTTTGAGGCCCCCAATCCGTGATTGTCCGAATGCCTGTGCCTGTGTGCCTGTGCTGTGCTGTGCTGGCTGGCACGGAGTACAGTACAGGGAAATACATGTGCCTAGGTACGAGGGACTGCGGCAGTTGGGCTTTTACACGTGCTTTTTGGGGGGGAAAGTTGGGGATACCTGGCCCTCCGATTTGCAATGTTGGAGGGGTCAAGTATTAAAACACCCGACAGCTGCAATTGCAATTGCATCCATACTTGCAGCACCAATTGGCCATCTACAGTGCAGTGCAGTGCAGTAGGGGTACCGAGTGAGACTCGCGATATCTCTGTCTCTTCTGGCTCGTTGCACCTATCAAGCCTCCCGGCGCATTACACGTTCCCTCCATTGGATTTTCTACTTGTAAGCAGGGCTCATGCACAATCACATGTGTGCTTACTTGCACAGGGCCCCGGATCCGTATTATTACTGCTCCCAGTTAGCTGTAATCAGCCAAATCCTGCTATCCATACTATTCACCGTACACAGCAACAAATTATCCCAAAGAAAGGAGAAAAAAAAAAAAACTTTTTACCCATTCCTCCAAATTTGTCTGTTGTATGTATCGCCTACTATTTTCTGCTGAGACCTTTTCATCTGCCTCTGGTGGGGTCTGGCCCGCGTGGCGCAAAAGCCCGCTAACTTCGGATTCGGCCACTCAAAAAAAATACTCAACATGTTTGCGATTGTTGAGCTGGGCCAGCCCAAAGATCCATAAGAAAAAGCACTGCTGCAAACATCAATTTTTGGTTGGTTTACGTGCCCAGGAACATACTTTGATGCTAGCCCGCAACGCAAAATCCCCACCTGTCGAATACGAATAAGAAGCAGTGCATGTCCCGTCTCGGCGCACTGCGGGCCGCCTATTTGCGATGCCCAGCCCGCGACGGACTGCCAATTCGTTGAGCTAAGAGCCAAGCAAGGTCTCAAATTTTGTTCAACAACATGGCTGTTTGAGCAATGCTGCATGTACCTGGAGATACCGACGATAACGCGTCTCATCGTGCAGATGGATCCTGGGACTCATGTATCGACATGTTGCTGGCACTAACAAGGTCCGGGGTCTCTGTCGCTACCGGTTGGGCGTTTCGTTCTCCGCCCTCCGCGCTCCCTCCCAAGTAATGGCATGTAGGAGTAATAATACTCCGTGCTCATGCAAGCGCTTCTTAGATAATCGCCGAAAACTTCATCTGCGCCGTTGTCACGTCAAATCAGCGATGATAGATGCCAATATTCGGCTTCAGTATTCTTATCCGGCTCGTACTCGTAACATGGGTGACCGTATCAACCAATATGCATCGCAGCACTTTGAACGGAGTAACCGCAATGCCATCTACAGGACACCCTGACTTGCCAGTCTTACACAACCGTTATCAGTGAACCCAGAATGCACGTCATACACCCCAGCAAGAGTCATCCTGAGTTATTCTTGTCTCATTACATCAATTGGAAACTAAACAGTTCCGTATATTGTACAATTAAGCGCCGTTCTGGCCGTCGCTGTGTCATCCACAGATGTCTATATCCTAGTCGACTGTCAAGCCTGTCGAATAGGCTCCAACCTCCCAACTTTTTTTTCCCCATTGCAATGCCCTCCAAGAAAAAAAACACTCCATCTATCACACCAATTTTGTGCTTCACTGTCCTAGACGTAATCCCTTACAGCTTCTTGACAAGCTCAGCCCACTTGTCGGTGGAGAAGGACTTGGGGCGCTCGATGGGGGCACCGACAGCTCGGTCAATGATCAGCTGGGGAAGGACACCAATAGCACGAGAAACACCGAAGAGGACGGTGTAGTAGTTGGCCTCGGTCAGACCGTAGTACTGGAGCAGGACACCGGAGTGAGCGTCGACGTTGGGGTAAGGGTTCTTGGTCTTGCCGTGCTCAGTCAGGACACCAGGGGCAATCTTGTAAACCTGGCTGACAAGCTGGAACATGGGGTCGTTGGGCATCTTGGCTGTAGGGGAGTTAGCTTCAATTTCTTTTTCCAACGTTTCAGATACCTCTTCAACATACCTTGAGCGAAAGTGCGCTGGGCAGTGTAACGGGGGTCGGTCTTGCGGAGGACGGCGTGGCCGTAACCGGGAACGACACGGCCGGCGTTGAGGGTGGACCAGAGGTAGTCGGTGATGGCCTTGTCGCTGAGGTCGTCACCAATGGCCTTCTTCATCTCGGTCAACCAGTTGAGCACCTCCTGGTTGGCAAGGCCGTGCAGGGGACCGGCAAGACCGTTGAGACCGGCAGCCAGGGACAGGAAGGGAGAGCTGAGAGCGCTGCCAACCAGGTGGGTGGTGTGGGCGCTGACGTTGCCACCCTCGTGGTCGGTGTGGATGGTCAGGTACAGACGCAGGAGCTCAACAAAGTCCTCGTTCTCGCCGAAGCCGAGCTGGTTGGCAAAGTTGAAGGAGTAGTCCTTGTCCTTCTGGATGGCAGCGACCTTTCCGCCCTTGAAGACGTTCTGGTAGATGCGGGAAGCAATGTTGGGCAGCTTGGCAATGAGGTCCATGGAATCCTCATAGGTGTAGTGCCAGTACTCCTTCTTGTTGATACCCTTGGCGTAGGCCTTGGCGAAGGAAGAGGTGTGCTCGAGAGCAGTGACGGCCAGAGAGAACTGGGCCATGGGGTGGAGGTCGGTAGGGCAGTGGTCGATGAGCTCCTCGACGAACTTGGGGATATCGGAGCGGGCAGCCCACTCGGCGGACAGATCACGGACCTGCTGCTCGGTAGGGACCTCACCGGTCAGAAGGAGCCAGAAGAGACCTTCAGGGAGAGGCTCCTTGCCACCGGGAGCCTTGGGGAGGATCTCCTGGCACTCAGGGATGGTCTTTCCACGGAATCGGATACCCTCCTCAGCGTCGAGAACGGAACCCTCCCAGACGAGGGACTTGATGCCACGGGCACCGCCATAGACCTGGTCGAGGGTGACCTTGTCGACGACCTTGGAACCGTGCTCCCTGCGAAGAGAGGGAATAATGTCAGCACCGCGAGGACAAACAACTACCGGAGACTGCGGCTCTGCTGGAGGCTATTGGGTTTCACTTACTTTCGGAGAGTCTTGATCTGCTCAATCTTCTCGGGGAGAAGCTCAGCGAAGCGGTCCTTGAGGGACTATACGGCGCAAGACAGTCAGCTTCCATCCATCCTATTTCTTTTATGTTTTTTCTTTCCAATCCCGTCTTCCTGAAGCTTCGGGGACCAGAGCAAAAACCGCGATGTTTCTTACCTGAGCCTTGGCGGAGTAGCAGCGGGTGGCGTTGAAAGCCGTGGCCCGGGCAGGGGCTCGCAATGAAGCCCTCAGGGCAGAGTTGCTGAGACGGGTGACGGAAGCCATTGTAAAGAATACTTGGGTATAGAGGGAGTAGAGGCAGAAAAGAGGATACGGCGGATGGGGGGTGGCAGAGGTTATAAAAAGCGCAATGCTTCCGTTACCACGGCAGGGAAAAAAAAATTAGGCCGGCGGTTCCTAGCAGCCTCGGAGGCTTGACAAGGTGCAACTTGGCTACTAAGGCGTGGGACCCTCTGTTGACCTTAGCTCGAAACTTGGATAAGCGTGCAGGGCAAAAGTTACATCACCGGCCAGCTCCTCTGCGCTCCGGCAAAGTACGGGTACTCGTAGGGCAGCGAAAAGTACCTCCGTGCTGCGGCCGAGAGTGCGCGGGCGGCTGTAGCCTCTGGTCAACGCAACAAGAACGGACATCTCGCTCCCCCACCATCCGACACTAAAACTCCCCCAACCATCTCCATCTCCCCGACAAGAGGCCAGATGGCCCGGAAATCAATCTGAACCTCGGAAAAAACGCAGGCAGATTGCCTAATCGAGTAGTCCCAAGAGCTGTACGAGGGAGAATCACGAGCACATGTGGATGAAGTACAGCATACAGAGGAGGCTGAGAGACATTTTCTTTCCTCCCTAGATTTTAACGACATTGGTTTCTGAAGAAGAGGCCCTCAAACAGACTACTAATATATCCAATTCATGATAGATTGAGGCGGTCAGCCTCCCTCTGTAAGTCATTGGCTCCTAGTAGCGAGTGAAAAATGACGAGATTGTGACGGCCTGTACTCCGTATGCAGTGCATCTGAAGCGCCTCCAATTATTAGAGTACACGACCGCTCAGCTGCGATGCGCATAGATAACCCGCAAGCTGAACTGTAATTGGCGGAGAGTCTCTTCCAAGCCCTTCCAAACACAACATCTGCAAAGCTTTATGTATTTTCCCTCGTGCCCCCTGCGATGAAGTTGTTTCACCTTGCTGCGATAATTATCAGATCAAATTCTTTACCGCAACCGAATAGCCGTCCGTGTAAGTCGATGCTCCCTTCTGCCGGAAAGGCCAAGACGTCATGTGATGAAGAAGCCGTTCCGGGCTGCCGAACGGAATCCCTTCCCCCGTAGAGCGTAGAGCAGAAATAGGTAGCCTCTCCAAATGTCATGACATAAGTGCGTCATCGTCATCGCCAGGCTAGATTCATCGTGAGCACCTGCACAAAGAAAACATCACGCCTACAGCTCTTTGTTCAGGACAATAGAGCAGAATCCCCATGGAGCCTTTGTCCACAGTACAGTACGGATAAACCTCGCTTCGCCTCCTGCTCATTTCCAGAAAGGAAAAATTTTGCATCGAGCACAAAGCAAGAAAAAAGAGTGAAGAGCAAACATTGCTCGGTACGTACCAATTTTAGTAGCCTGACCCGAGTAAGGGAAAGAGAAAATACACTTGCGGCCCTATCAAAGAGTACTTTTCAACCAACGCAATTTCATCCACCACACAAGTACTGTAACTTAGTCATCCAAGTACCGTCTCATTAGGCATGACCCGTATTAAGCCCAAAAAGTCACGCCCAAACGCGGCAAGCTGCAAAGTTTCAGTAGCGGGCTTTGTTCCCTGCTAAATCTCTCGCGACCCGCCCCTCTTCCCTCCTTTCAATTTCTCCTCCTACATCTCCATCGCCACCCAAAAAGGTCTGCGAGCCTCCCGCTTCAGATTCTTCTTCCATCATCTCGCGCATCCTCTGAATCGTATTCTCGCATCAACATCCCCCTCTAGGCCGACCGAAAAGAAAACAAATAATCCTTTTAGACAGGCTTGTGGGCAATTTCGCCTCCAGCCCCTGTGATATACTCTCGCGTGTGCGCAGCTCCATTGCGGCAGTAGAAGACTTTTTTTTCTTTTCTCCTCGCGCGCTTCAATCAGTCACCGCGTACATCGTACTTTTGAGATTTGGTTTACTTCGTACAAACGATCGGAAATCTCCTGCTTCGTACAGTGTCGCGTCGTTTATTGTAACACAAGGCCTTTGATCGATAGTACTTGGGAGGAGAGGCAGCATAGACATCAGCCGTACGACTTGTTTTGACTGAGAATCTCCTCACACCAAGTGATTCACCGGACCAGCCAAAGAAAAGGAGATTAAAAGACAGCTTGTTTTTCTTTTGTCTGCATCACGTCCCAAAAAGAAGGGTTCATCGTACACTAGCACCGACTAAAATCTTGCTGAGACTCTGCCGCGGAGGATCTGTTGGAACAAGACAAAGAATTTGCTTCCAGCCCCGGGTCCCAACCATGGCGTCTGCAGTAACAGACTTGGAAGCTGGCCTACAGGCCATGCTCAATTTGAAGCCACCAGGTGTATCCGGCTCTCGTATTACTAGCCTCACGTCTCTTTGCGTCGCCAACATTCAGGTAAGGTGTTTTTGAACAGATTTTCTTCCAACATGCGTTGCTGAGCGGCCCCATTCCTTTTGCTGACACGGCTCCCTTGCAGTCCGAATCTGTCCTCATTCAAAAAATCTACACACACTTCAAGAAAACTCCAGGAACACACAAATTGGGCGTCCTCTACGTCGTAGACTCTGTAACCCGCAAGTGGCTTGAACAAGCAAAGTCTCAGGGTCAGCCCATAAACAGCTCTGCCCAGGATGGCACGTATGCCGCTGGAGTGCACCGAGTAACGGAACTGATGCCTGTTTTGATGAATGACATTCTTCAGTCTTGCCCAGAAGATCAAAAGGTACGTGTAATTCGAGTTTTAATCTGTATCGGTCGGGTGAAATCACACACGCATACACATACACACACATACAGCGCTCCCGCTCGTAGGCGTCTGAACGTGCGCTTTGTCTCGTTGATATCTGGCATATCTGGTGAACCGGAAGCAAGACAGACCCCTGCACTCGTTTTTTGAGGAACCAAGTCTACGAGTGCAAGTCAGCATTGCTTTGTTGGTGGTCATCAGCCGCCTCTAAGAGCCGCCTCTAGGAAATCTCCACATGAAATCGTATCTGAAGGACTAGTAACTCACATTTCTCTTCTCGCCTTGTAGGAAAAGATCAAAAAATTGCTTGATATCTGGGAAAAGGGCCAGACCTTCCCCACATCCATGATAGAATCATTCAAGGAGAAAGTCAACGCTCCCTCACCACCAAGTACGTCTTCTCACATACTGGCATGGTGCATCACAGTCTTCCTCAAGAGACGTGATGCTCCTGGCCAGTCAAATCAGAACTTCTGTATGAACGAGCTCTTCTGACGTAACTACAGAATCCACAACTCCCCCTGGTAGCCCGCCTGCTGGATTGGCAGCTTCACTCCAGAACAAGCCTGCGCCTAATGGCTCGTCCATCTTGGAAGCCTTGGCTAATATTGCTCGCCAAAACACCTCGGCTGCACCAAGCAACCAATCCCTCCCAGCTCCCGCCGCATCATATAGCATGCCTCCCGCTACTTCCAACGCCCCCCCAGCTTCCGCCACTCCCCCAGGACTATCACAGGTCCTTGCTTCATCGCTCCCACAGCCTCACCAGTCGTATCCCCCGGCTGGACAACCCGTAAATGTGTCGTCTCTGCCATTCTCATTGACTCAAATGCTTGGTCAAAATGCTCCGATGCCAGCCAGTGCGAGTAACCCATCCAACCCATATGCGGCAGCGTCTGCAGCGCCTCCCGCCGCAGGGGCCGGCGGAGCTGGTTTAGGACCGGACGTACAGCAGCAGATTATGCTGATCAAGGCTCTCGCTGATCAAGGCGTTCCCTTTGATAAGATTCCCGCTCTCATCCAGAGCATGACTTCTGCTACTGCAACTGGAGGGTATCCGGCAGCGCAACCTCCCGCGCCTGTCCCCACTGCCCAAGGCACCTTTCCATCGGCTCAGCAGCCATGGGGTGCCGCTGCTTCAGGCCCTGCGCCTGACCAGGGCTACCAGGACAACGTAAGGTCTCCTAGATATCGAGGCCGTTCACGCTCTAGATCACCTGAGCGCGGCTGGAATGCTCGCGGTTCTCCTCGTGGTGGACGTGAATATGGTCGTAACTCACCTCCTAGAGGGCGCATGGATGATCGAGACCGCAATGGCCGAGGAGGCAATGATTACCGCCAGCGTAGCCCTCCTCGTGGACGCCATGGACGAAGCCCTTCTCCCGCCCAAGAGTTCCAGCAGGAGAAGTGGGTTGAGTTCGATCCAGCGCTTCCATCCGGCACCATCAAAGTTCTTAGTCGTACCCTGTTTGTAGGAGGCGTTACGTAAGTCTACCACTTTCTGACCTAGATAAGTTTGATCGTATGCTAACCAAGTACACCAGTTGCTCCGAAGCCGAGCTGCGTGGCATCTTTGGCCGTTATGGCACTGTTCAGACTTGCATTGTCAATAAGGACAAACGCCATGCCTTTGTCAAGATGTTGACACGCCAGGACGCCGTTAGGGCAAAGGATGCCATGGAAGATGCTAGGGGTCTTGAGTATCCCCTTCGTGTAAGTGCAAGCCAGGCATTGTATCGTTAATTAGTAAAGTACTAACTCCGATTACTAGACCAGATGGGGCGTTGGGTTCGGTCCTAGAGACTGCAGCGATTACTCAACCGGCATCAGCGTTATTCCCATCCACAAGCTCACCGACGCTGACCGAAAGTGGATGCTCACTGCTCCATACGGTGGCAGCGGAGGCCGGCCCATTGAGACGGGCATTTGTGTCGAAGAGCCCGACATTGAAATCGGCGCTGGCGTTTCGTCCAAGGCCATCAGCCGCCGGATGCAGACAGACAAGGGCGGTAGCAACGGTCCCAAGTCTACTCGCCACCGCGACGACGATACACGCTGGCGTCGAGGCCGGGACGATGGCCCTGGCCAGATGGATCTTGATGGTCAACAACAACAACAACAACAACAACAACAACAGCAGAATAATATGGGCGGCTTCCCCTTCGGCATCGGCACTTTGCCCAACGGTATGCCCAACTTCCCAACGGGCTTCCGATTCCCAGATCCCAACACTGCTGGGAGGACCTAATCATGATTGACTTTTGCGATACTTGAGTGGTAAAATTTGATTTCTACGCCCTCGGCAATTTGCGCCGACAGGTTCGGCTCGGTTGAGGGCAACAGCGGCATCAATCAGGCTTAGGATGAAATGGCGTCTGGCGAACGGGAGGGACCCCTCTGGGGAATCGGAAACTGCTCCATGACCTTGCTTTTGGTCTGGATTGTACAGTCTCGTCATTGGCGATAGATGTCTCGTTTGTTTGTTGTTTTTTATTTCCTTTTATGTGGACGTTTTACATAAAGGGGGAGGCATCTTCGTGCTCTGAATCGGATACCTATTAGCTAGTTACTAAAAGTTAACTTTATGTGTTCTATATATGTCTCGTGTCTTTTTCGATGTGATGTTTATGATGTGATGTTTGTGATGTGTCTTTGACCATTGGTAAGCCCAGGGGAAAATGTCGTGCCTTTGCGGGATCTAGGATAGAGGCCGTATGCTTTAATTTGGTGAATACAAAACAGTAGATATGAAAGAAACATTCAGATATAGATTGGAATTATAAAGACTCGAAGACGACAAAAAAAAGTCAGCTCTCATACAATTTGCGGCTTGCTCTCAAGATGCAAATGCCTACCCTGTAGCCAAGCCCAAATCTGAAAAAAGTCTCTGGGTTCACACTAATAGAATTGAGTTGATTCAGATAGCAAAAAAACTAGTTTGTTTACGTGACAGCAGTTTAGGCTACGGTATACATTCAGAGGGATCATCTGTTCCATAGTTTGTCTCACTGGAATTGTATCATTCCAGACGAAGCGGAACGTCACACCCAGGTAGGACCAAAGGAATGGCACGGAATGCAAACTACTACTAGATATTTACTGTACCCTACAGTACAGGTAGCATATGTTTTAACAGGGAGCTACTAATACTAACTTAGGTAGATGGGCTTTGCACGCCGAAATACGGAGAGAAACAACATTTGGACAATGAGGCAATTACGTCGAAGCCATCAGGGGCCATCAACGGGAAATTGCTTGCGAGGTTTTTTTCTTTTTGACATAAACGGCCCGGGTACTTCATGTATGAGGCTTTTATTTTCCATTTTCTTACATTTCATTTTAATGAGGTGATCTACATAATACCAATGGGGTGTCTGTGCACACGACTAAGCTGGATATGACGACGAAGCACAAGAGCAAGGCAAAAAAAAAAAAAAAAAGACGACTAGGTTTTGCGGGCGTTGGTTGGAGCGTACAGTAAGCTTAGGCTGGGCACGCGAGCGGCTGCGGTATGAAGGATTAGTTGAAACGATGGGCGTTGAATCCTTGGATAGTAGACTGGATAGGACCCGGAGTGGGCGACTTCACTCGGTGACACAGGATGGGAATAGTAGCACATAGCGCCTACAGCGGCATTCTCCTTTCTTTTCGACCCCTAAGAAGGCCCTTGGGAGTCACCGAAGTGATTATGAATGTCTTTTGTTTGCTTGGATAGAGCACCTTCGGCCGTTTTAGTGCCGCCGCCGAAGAGCTGAAATCTCTCATAGAAAATTCTACACCCGGGAGGGAGAGGCTCCGTACGAGATAACTCTGCCATATGCACCCCGTACTTCCCCAGGTCCCTTTAAAAAACTCCATCTGGCAAAGTCCCATTGAGCCCTTTTCTCCCTCATCGGGGATTTAAGAAAAAAAGAAGTAGACGGAAAAGAAAAACGGCTGCAGAGAGAGCGAATATACTTAAATCGCCCTTCCGGCCGGGAAGCCGCGGGAAAATGTGGATCCCAGAAATCAGCGTAGCAACGCGCCTCGTCTTTCTCTTAATTCACGCAGCAAGATCGAGAAGGAGGGAGGAGGCCCTTATTTTTTTTTAAACAATTAAGAATACGTGAAAGTAAAATTTAGAGTTATTTTGTTAGGGCGCGGGTCAATTTGGAGAATTAACGGGGGCGCGGCCGGGTAAAGAAGAAGTAGTGTAGTATCATTGGGGACCGGAGTTTGGAGAAGTTTTGTGGTGTGGTGGATGCTACCCGCGTTTTCCGGGGGAGCCGAATGTTCTTGGGGAAGTTCTTTTTCTTCTTCTTTTCTGTTGTGTGGGTTGTTTGAGGGATTGGTTTGTGTTAGGTTGAAGGCTTTTGATCAATTCACTTGTGGTACACTCCTGTGATGGATTGGATGAGAGTGGCCAAGGATTGACCAGATGTGGTGGGCAGAGGGTTGGCCGTGGTTGAAACTTAGGTGCTAGACTTGGTCTGGTCTGTTCTCATGTTCCGTAACTTCTTGTTTCAAGGAGGCCTATTCTTTCTCGCATCATTGAGTTGGCTTAGAATATGGCTCAAGACATGGAAGAGTGTGTCTCCGAGTGAGCAAGGTAAGACATATATCCGCGGTGATGTATGAGGCAAAGATTTCCCAAAGGCTCTAATCTAGGCAAATTGGGGATTCGGTGGCATTGGGATATCACTTATAACGTTATGTCAATGCCATTATCAATGCTGTGGCGAAGAGATATACTTGTTGTGACCAAGATGCTTTGGGCATAGAGCTAGATGGTGTTGCTGGTTAGACTGCGTGCTGTCGAAACCCCCAAGGATCCCATCTTTTTTGCTCCAATGGAATGCTCACCAACACAAGAAAATCATTCAAATGGTAAAACAAGCCGTAGAAAGACGCAGGCTAAGCAAAACACCAGAAACGGCCTCTCCAGTGGCGGGATAGCAAAGGATGGGACACACCCACCCAACATCACAAAGACTACGAGCACGGAGTACAAGCAGAACTTTCAACATCAGCATAGTGTCCACTCACTGCAGCTGCGTCTCCACCAAAAGAAGCTGCAAGAGGCGAGGCGAGAGCTTCCACCCAGCTTCTAGAGCGTCGGGCTGGAGTTCCAAGTGGCGCCAAAGGGGCGTACTCGGGAGTATTTTTTTTGCCACAGGAACGGGACTTTGCCGACTGGTAGGGTACAATCCCATGATAGGTTTGAGTGATTACTATCTATGTACTACTACGTTACCGAGCTCGTTGTTGGCAGGATTGAGAATGCAGGGTTCGGTTTCAATAGCCGTCACTTTTGTTCCTCGGCTTTGAGACCACAAGTGGTAAGAATGCCTCCTATTCTCTGCGTTTTCCTTGCTTCGTATCTGTCTGAACAGGTACAGCAATATTCAATATTATTACCTGTATCATTTACTACCTAGGTAGGTAGTACTCCGTATACTCGTAGTAGGTAGACTATCCGGCCCCGTGGAGAAAAAAAGACCAGCTCAGAGGGTCCGTATTGCTGCTGGCCGTCCCTCGGTTCCCAGAACTCGCCAATGCCAGCAGCAGCAATACCGACGAAAATAGCGCTTTCTGAATTGGGCATTTGGTATTGACTGTATCGAATCTTGCAGAGCCAATCAGTCTCGAGCTGCTGATTGCGGGTCTGTGCCAGCTGTCTTCGGCGTTCGGTAGTCGGCCGCAGGCAACCATGTAAGAGGCATGTCCGGACTGACTAGCCAGAGCATCACGGGATCCGGCGCCTATGTAAGTACTACTCCTACCATCGTTAGGATTCGGAAATAGGTACATCCAGTAGTATTGATTGATCCCTTTTCTGCCTTTCTCGATCCCATCGCCCTCGCTTTGCTGCTCGGCTCTGGGCGGAATCGGGGACGCGGGAACGCGAGCCTGGGCAAAAGACGCAGCCAGTCCAGTCCAGCGATCCCTGGGCGATTCTGTGCTGTTCTCGATTGGCCACCCCCTGACCTTGAACCCGGACGTTCTTGGCAGCGGCTTTTCCACGGAGCCGCCAACTGAGCTAAGCTGATGAGGTAATGGGCAGTGGATAGAAGAAGAAAAGGAGCAGGCTGGCCAGCAAGCGAAGCTGCAGTGCTTTGGATTGGGCCGACGGCGCAATGACGCATGGCAGACCGCCGTCTTCTCGTGCGCTTCCATGCGTCTCTCTGACTCTGCACTGCTGCGCTGCTGTACTTTACGCGTTCTGTAAATTACTCGCGCCGCTGATGGCGCTGATGCCCGTGCAGTTTGCTGCTGTGCTGTGCTGTGCTGTGCTGTACAGCAGTCCAGGCTCTTACCGTATGTCAGGTACTCTCTCCCCTGAGATGGATGCTGTCAATGCTCTTGTACGACCAAAGTATACATCAGACGACGGACTGTTGAGTTTTTTTTCTTCTCTCTCTCCATCTCGTAACCCAAACTCGCGTATATGCAGACAGCTCCGTTGCCGCCCTCGTTAATCGCCCAATTTGCGCTGCCAATTTCCCTCTTCCCAGTCCCCAAGCCTCTGATCGATCGTGGAGAAAAAACGCTGAAGGGGACCCCCGAAGACAGACAAGCAGGCAAAGACGAAGAAGAAAAAAAGGCCAGCGCACGTTGGCGCAATGACCTTCAAGCGAGCCTGGACCCCCCTTGCTCTACCAGGTATATCGTGGCTACGGTAGGGGGCTTGCAGGAAAACACAACGTGAAGAACCACACAGTACGCAGTGGACGCTTGACGATGAGCAGGGACGTGCGGACACTAGGCCGGGGCTGAACCTGGCTTGGGGAACGATTTTTCTCCGTATCGCAGGTTCCGCGTGCGGTGGTGGACGATCGCTTTTTTTTGCTTCGTTTGTGACATGGCATGGGCGGTTATGCCACTTGGCAGTGAACTCGTAAATTGGTATTGCCTGTCAGCCGTTTGATGGATCCCCGTGATACCATCTGCGGTGGCAAGTATTCGTACTCGTAGACGGTTTTGTGTACCGTACTGTACTGGTAAGTGATCCAGTTTGTTTCATTGCCCAATCTTAACAAAGCACTACCTAAAATTTCGCCCATTGAATCAAGTATTACGCCTCATCATCAATACTGGCCCCCTTTCCAGACCGTCTTGGCAGCTCCAACATGGAGATGCTCCAGTTGAAAAAAAGACGGAGTTGCATAATATGGAGAAACTGGAGCACCCAGGCGGCGCACCTTTTCAGCTCAGGGTCTCGTGGATTCCTTCTTACTCGAGTCGTAGTACGAAAATATACGGAGCGCCAAGTAGCGGTATATTCAAAGACGAATTCAAATCACTGGATCCCCCGAATGCAATTCTGTGCCAGCCAAGACCGCCCTACGGCGTCGCTGTGGCTTCACCCCCACACGGCGGCTGGAGAGAGGAACTTTCCAAAAGAAATCCCTCGTCTAGCCGGGGGAGACGTCGGTCAACGCTTATGGGAAAGGGGGGCCATGATGTGAGTTGTGCTGTGATTTTGCACTCTGGTGTCTTTGGGTTGTTGGTACGGCTGAAGCTGTTGGTGAGACGTGTAGATTATGAACAAGAAGGACCAATTCTTCGTTGCTATTTCGTCGTTTATGACAGGATGAATCCATCTGCTGGCAGGGCGTCCCATCCATTGCCCATTGCCCATTGTCTGTTACTGTGTAGCTGTGTAGACAGATAGTGGCGTACAAACTTCAATTGGTACTATCGATGCTGATATTAACCTACGTACGTAACGTGGCTGGCTGTATTTCGTCACGCCCGATGCCTTGCAGCAATAGAGACAAACGCAAGGAGGCGAGACCATTTTCGCCCGTTGCCGAGACGCTGCAGGAAAACAAGGATCGATTGAGTGATGCCTGGAGACGGACGGGCCTTTTCCATGGCCGCTCTACTAGCATCAGCCGAGCAATTGAAGACACAACGACTGGGCACAAGTCTCTAATTGCGTGCATTCGCCATCGAGATGCAAGCGCGGCAGTCGTGCTCCGTAACGTTGGGCACGCTAAGGCAGCCTTTTGTGTGCTGCAACAACAGCATTTTGGCCGATGCTCGCATTCACGCCTCGTTCTAGAATGCCCGCAGAATGTCTTGGCGGGCTGCATCTGTTTTTCTTGGCCCCATCCTCTACGGTACGCCAGTGGCAAGCAAAAGTATGATACACAGTAATCCGTATGCGCAGACCTCTGGTTGGCTGGCAGAATGTACAGAGGAAAAAGGATTCTGTAATAGGTATGTTGCCAGTCTGGGCATTCCACCACATGCGGCAAAGCCGAGCTGAAGCCATCTCGATGACGTAGCGTGAAAAAGGATATGCCATGTGAAGGCGTCTTCTCCCTTGCTCAGCTGCCCTTACCGACCGACACCGATCACGATAAACTCAGCAGAATAACATTGCCTGAACCGGAGACCCGGCCGCCATTCTTCATTTCCAGACCCCCCGTTCCGTTCCCGCGTCCCTTCTTCTCCGCGGCTTTAACCCCAAGCGAAGGGGGAGGAGACCCCCAGAAAAGGAAATCTCGGTATCGGTATATCGGTGACGGCGCTTCGCGGGCCCGGCATTTCGCTGTTTGATTTTGCTTTTTTTAAACTGTCTCTCTATCTCCCTTGCAGTGTTATCGTTTTCTTGGCCCCCTTCTTTGCCATGTTGATTTGCTTTGTCATTGGGGGCTATGATGAAAATCGTCTTTTTGCCAAGGCCATTTTGTCGCACTTTGCGGATGCCGCGGTAATTAAAGCTGAAGGATTCAGATTAGGATGCTCATTACTGTAGAAGAAAAAAAGCCGTGACGGGTATGTGCACTAACACCAGGGATGCTGAGACACCGCAAACAGCAAAAAATTCTGGCATTGGCGATACACGGCCCCCGTCTTGGTGAATCAATTCAATTCCAATATGTACGAGGATACGTGTATATCTTGCTGCCATCAGCTTACTGTAGTACCTTGGGTCTAGTACTGCCGGAGCTGAACTAAGACTGAAGCAGTCAAGTCCAAGTATAGCTACGCGTACGCTTATTGCGGCCGCTGCAGCTACGCAGGTAGCATTACTCCTTTACACGTACAGCCGTCTGCTTTGAAACGACGACGCCAGCTCAATTGAACTGAGTGATAAAACTGCCATTGCATCGCCAATTGAGCGCCAACACCAGATAAACCAAGACGCCTCCTCCATGCTCTGCTGGGGCCAGATACCAAAAAGACAAAAAAAATCGCCAAGGAAACACCAAAATGTAATTTCACCCGAGTGCCATGTTTCGAGAGGCTCCTTCGAGGCTAGCGTGCCACGGAAAACACTCATGGTAGGTTTCGAAAGGGCATTGATCAGAAGCTTAAGGTGGAAAAAAGTCTCTCGCCTCAGCCGTTGCCTGTACCTTAGGTTTGTAGCTGTTGGGCGGCCGTTGACATGAGGGTACATGCCGGCGTCGGGTGGGGCCAGTGTGGCATACGGTGCTGCTTAGGGGGCGCTCGAGCGCTGGAAAGCCGCTAGAAAAAGCCGGTGCGCTGCTTGGGGGAGAGCAACAAAGTGAAGCCGCGGCGTGTTCCCGAGGCAAGCCACCAGTCCAGCGAATGGTCGGGGCCTTTGATAGGGTGCATGTGGGCGCGGTTTATACGGCCAGCGGCAAGGAGATCCAATGATGGCTGCATCCGGGGCCATGCACGATGGACGGGAGATGATGGCCGTTGACAGGCTGCCGTGTGTAATTGATTGAAGCTGTGTGTGTCTGTTTGGTCGATGACGATGACGATGACGATGACGATGATGCTGCTCGCACTGCTGCTGTTGGTGCCACTAGTGGTGGCATTTGATGCACACGTAGGAGCACACTAACGGTCGCTGCAGATGCATCTCAACGCCTCCAGCTACAGTATTCATCTACTCAGTCTCACTCGGCGTGCGATAGGTACAGTTGCGCCTTCGGAGGAACTCGATAAGCACTCTTGATGCCCTCGGCTGCTACGATGACACTGTATTCTGTAAATAGGCATTACCACTACATGTAATTGCGATAATTACATAGCATGTACATAGCTGTATTAGAGCATCCATGGTAATAATACGGAACAATGCCGGTGCTCCTTATTCATCTTATGCTTACCTACCTGGTACTTGTATTAATATCTTTAGCTTCAGCCAATCGCCATGAATACCACCCATCAGCAAAAAGTAGAGCTACAAGTCTTCAAGGTTCAATTGCCCTACAAGCGACTCGTCAATGTACAAACACACAGGTAAATCGGTGCCAATCCTGGTCGTCCGGCATCACGACAAGCGATTCCGATGACATGGTCGTTTGACGAGGCAAGGGCAAGGCCGAAAAGCGCAGGGAGCGAACGTGCGAGCTCGCAGCAAGCAAACAGGGCCTTGGCGTGGCTTCTTTTCCCACGGAGTCGATCTGCCGAAGCAAATCCGTTCCCTGCCCTGCCTGGTCTGGTGGCTTCGTCATGGGGGCGGGCGGCGGAAGCATTCCCAAGATGCCGTTTTCTCGCTGAGACATGGCATTTGGGGTGAGACAAGGTGTCGCAAGAATGGGCAATCCCGGTAACAACTCATTTTAAAAAGTAAACAACAGACAAAAGAAGAAAAAGAAAACATGGCATGTGGCTATTTGTGTCTCCGATGCACGTCTTACAGCTTGTGTCGAAATAGGCAGTCTCAGGATCGGCTTCGTGGTACCCCCCCAGGGAGCGCACTGATGTTTTTCTTTTTCTTTTGCCCCCATCTTGGCGCTACAGGATGGAATCACACATCACGCTCACGCCTTTTGTATGAGAGGAAATGATGCACGGCTTGGTGAAATGAAATGAGACAGTCACACATCACAGAAGGGCAGGCATCATGAGTAAGCTCTGCCAGCGAACGGCGTGCTAGCGGAAGCGCCGTCTGTCTGGAAGGATATTGGCCGGACGGTTCATCGAGCTGCCGGCCACTAGAACAGCAGCCCGTAATATTGAATTCATTGAACCTTTTTTGATCAAAATTGCGACCATGTGAAAGGGCAGGCTTCTGATAAGGCCGCATTGGTTGGCGCTATTAAGTTCCTGGAACGGAACGGCACACTGCCGGAGGCATTGCCGCATTAATCATCTTGAACCGGCAGCGACAGAAGCGAAACAAGCAAGCAAACAGCTGGCAGAGTATTACAGAAACGAGCACGCACATGGGACGAAAATGCGGGTGGTTGGGCAAAGCGAAACGTTCGTTTACAATACAGTGTTCGTACATGTACGAGGAAAGGTTCCCAGCAGCTTATGCACAAACTACCGCTCCGTTTTTACCGCCATTGCCTGTTATCGCGAAGTTGGCGGTGACCACCTGCAGGAGTCGTGTCGTTGCATGTGCTCCGTACTGTAGCCTACTTGTACCTACATATAGAACCGCCAGCAGAGAGCAACAAAAAGGGAAAAAGATCCATTGATGGAATCCAGCTCCGTTCTGGCGTCCCCACGGGGGTACGCAAGAATGCAGAGGGAGATTGCGGTAAATGCAGGTACCTGCTTTAGTCGTCGCCTCTAGATCCACTGCGTGCAAGTCCACGAGAAAGCTGGCACTAACACCGGTCGACGAAAAGTCAATCCAATCCCCATTGTCACAGCTCACCTTTTCTAGGTGGTAGGTGCATGAGAGAAAAAAAAGGCGACCAGACGTTGTCGTGACGAGAACAGCGCATGGTCTGGGCAAAAAACCAAGAAAAAAGCCGGATAAGCGTACCGTATCGTATCGACTAGCAATCGAGAAAAACAACCTGAAGCCACCAGAGCAACGTCAAAGGGCCTGGGCCCCCCAGCCCGTAACCAAGGGGCTTTTGGGGCTCCAGAAATGCCCACAGATCATCAACAAGGTGCGGTTCGCGAAAAAGGGCCGTCCGTGCTCTGTTGCTTCTCGCTGACCGCCGCCGCGAAGAGAGTCCACTAGAACAGCTCTAGTAAGGGAGTGGCCAGCGTTGTTGTCATCATGGGAAGAAGCGAGCAGGAAAAAATGCCTCAGCAAAAAAAGGACGAATTGCTTGGCTGTCGTGTACAAAAAAGTAATGAAAATGGAAACATAATAATAGATGCTCTAGCCAAGAAGCACCAGCGCCAGGACGGCCAAATGAAACATGGAACCCAAGAGAGACGGGAAGATTGAGGCCAAAAAAAAAGAGGGCTTCCAATCCGCGCTGGGGCATTTCCCCCGGGCTAATAAACTCAAGCTCCATTGTATGAGGTCTTTTGGCGTGCGGTAGTGGCCCGTAATGGTAGCAGTAGCGGTGGTTCTCCGTAGCGGGAGAGGCAGTTAGAGGCGGATATTGCAAGTAAAGTTGAGCATTAAGTTTATGGGAACGGCAAGGCTTTCTTTCTGGGTTTCGCCCACCCGAAATTGCTGCTTAGTGATCGGGTCAATTCGCTGCCCTATTATTGGAGAAGGGCTGAATTTGGTTAATCAATGCCGAAGTAGGATACGAAGTGAATCCATCTTGTTTATGGCATACACGTGTAATTCATCTTGCATCTGGGGTAATTGCAACGGCGTGATGGTTCCAACAACCCGCTGGGCGAATGATATGGAGTACTACCTTAGGTTTTGATAGCTGGAACGCTGAAAATGAACTGGCGCACCGCACCAGCAGCATCAAGGCGTCGGCACTCGAACTCTTTTACGAGAGCCTCCGTAGCCCTGGATTTCTGCGTTATCTGCCTCTAGCGGCACGGCCAACGCGCACCAGGCAAGCATCTGCCATCCTGTGACGAAGAGAGACACCGCCTAGCGTGTGCCAAGTACATTGATGAGCAGCTTGAACATTTTCATGCCGATGTGCGGCTTCCACAGGCACGCACTACACTAACAGATACCGGTCACATTACAAGCATCAATGGGTAAGGTGTTTAGGTGGCGGGCGATAAACATGTACCTCGCAGGGGTGGAAGACCCAGAGACAAACAAACAACAACACAGGGGCAGGCTATTGTGCAAGTCCAGTCCATCCAGACGTAGCACGGTCCAGTGTCTCGCTAGCATCAATTCAACCAAGTCAGCGTTAAAGGCCAGGCATTTCCGAAAGGGTGTGCCGTCTCCGCCAAGTCCCGCCGGCTGGGCTAGCAGGGGAATTATAGAGGATGGACGTGTGAGTACGAGTAGCAGTAGCAGTAGAGAGAGCAGAGAGGCTCCGCCCCGTGGTGGAAATAGGTAGGTAGATACCGCAAATCGAATGGAGCGAGGCCGTGGGTTCGATGCTGGAGTGCATTGCGGTGAGGTCCAGCTGCCACCGACATTTACACGAGCTCTGCACGAGTACACGTATTGTTCATGCAGCACCGCTTCTCCATCCGGTAGCGAACCACATAGACAGCACAACGGCCCGCTGGCTTCGTATGGCTGAAAATCGGAGCTGTATGTACGAGCACAGTATCGAAGGCAAAGGGGGCGGTGGGCCAAGGGCTCGTCGACAGCTCGCTGCTTCGGCCTCTTGGGTTTGGCGTGCTTTTTGTTGTGCTTGTGCCAAGCCGACAGGACCATGCTTTTTTTCTTCGTCGTCCTTCTACTTTTTACTTTTTCAAGTGCCCGTCCCTTGAAGCGCTGAGGTACAGGACAGTACCGGGGTACTTTGGTACATACCTGAGCAAGTTCCATCTTGTCCTTGTCCAGCTCAGTCCACTGTAGGAGGAAAGATACAAAAGATACAGATACAGGGGGGCCAAGCAACCAGGCATGGGGCCCGACCAAGGTCGCAGGGATGGCGGCGGTACGTACCGGACTAGCGGCCACACCGTGCGCGCCTGGCCGCAACTCGTACGGCCGACGGCTTCGTGCCTTGTACTCCAGGGTACCGCTTTCGCCCTAGCACCGCTCATGGCGTGCCCCAGTCTTCGCCGTGCCTGGCCTCTGCTTGCTTGCCCTGGCCTGCCCTGGTCCAAGATGGCAAGGACGGTTGGGACGCTCGCATGGCGCCTGCTTGCTTCGTCGAGCCTTTCGTTGAAATAGAAGCTCTCTCCCCGTCCTCGACTTAGCTTTCCTTTCCCTTTTTTTTCTCTTCACCCACGAATGCGTTGAGTTTAACGTGTCCCCCCCAAGCCTCTCTTCGTGTGGTGTGAAAAAGCAAACTTTTCTCCCTTATCTCCTCCCTCCGCCCCGAACTTTACTATTTCCCCCTAATAATAATAATCAATCCTCTTTTCGCTTTCAGCATTCCCGCCCCTCAAGGTCATCTACATACCAATTGAGGAACCCCGCGGCATTTCTAGACTTGTCAGCTTTTCTCGCAACCTAGAACCCTTCGTCTTTTCTTATAAATCAGCACCCGCCAATATACACATCACAAGCGTCTCACACACGTTAATAATACTTCGTCATGGCGGACGATAAAGCCGTCGGCGCACCCGCGCTGGATACAAATATCGAATCGGGCAACTTCGACGAGAAGCGCGCTCAGCCTCCCACTGAGGCCGTCCCTCCCAAGAAGGATGCTCCCGCTGAAGAGGAGGAAGAAGATGAGGACATTGATGCCTTGATTGAGGATCTCGAGTCCGAGGATGGCCACGCCTTCGAGGAAGAAGAGGAGGAGACCAACCCTGCCACTGGACGTATCGTCCCCGAGGACATGCTCCAAACTGACAGCCGTCTCGGTCTGACCGAGAGCGAGGTTGTCGCTCGCCGTCGCAAGTACGGTCTTAACCAGATGAAGGAGGAGAAGGAGAACTTGGTTCTCAAGTTCCTTGGCTTCTTCATCGGTCCCATTCAGTTCGTCATGGAGGTGAGTTTTTTCTTTTTTCGCTTTTCCCGCCATTTTTTGCGTCTCGATATGCACTCGATTGCCTTGGCTTCGACACCCACGGCCATGATTCATCTCGTCAGCCCTCTCACCAACACCACCACACCCTCTTGCAACTTATCAGCAAGCCGCGTTCCCCCGACGCGGCGAGCGATTCCCTCCAATTGCCTTGTTTTTTTTTTTTTGTTTTCCCGCGCTTGGCTCCTCGGGTCTAGATTGGCAGCTCCACACCAGCTTCTTACGGCCTCTGCGCTCATTGGTTCAATTGGCCTGGCTGAGCTGATCTGCACTCCGTTTCCCTGCGCTCGAGAAAATTATGCATGTGGGGGGCCGAAGAATGCCGATCCACTCAATACCTTAACATGTCACCCGCTCCACTCCTATCCCAACCGGCGCCGTCGATCGCCGATACGCAAAAAACACCCTTATTCGTTACGCGTTTTACGAATACGCCAATTTGCTGACCATCGTATTATAGGCTGCTGCTGTTCTGGCTGCCGGTCTTCAGGACTGGGTCGATTTCGGTGTCATCTGTGGTCTTCTCATGCTCAACGCCTGTGTTGGTTTCATTCAGGAATTCCAGGCTGGTTCCATTGTCGAAGAACTCAAGAAGACTCTCGCTCTCAAGGCTGTCGTTCTCCGTGACGGTACTCTTAAGGAAATTGAGGCTCCCGAAGTCGTCCCTGGTGATATTCTGCAGGTTGAGGAGGGTACCATCATTCCCGCTGATGGTCGCATCGTTACCGAGGGCGCTTTCCTCCAGGTTGATCAGTCCGCCATCACTGGTGAGTCTCTCGCCGTCGACAAGCACAAGGGCGACTCCTGCTATGCTTCCTCTGCCGTCAAGCGTGGTGAGGCCTTCCTGGTCGTCACCGCCACTGGTGACAACACCTTCGTCGGTCGTGCCGCTGCTCTCGTTTCTCAGTCCGCCGGTGGCACTGGTCACTTCACTGAGGTTCTCAACGGCATTGGTACGATTCTGCTGGTCCTCGTCATCCTGACCCTGCTCGTTGTCTGGATTTCTTCCTTCTACCGCTCCAACGGCATCGTCGACATCCTGCGCTTCACCCTGGCCATCACCATTGTCGGTGTCCCTGTCGGTCTTCCCGCCGTCGTTACCACCACCATGGCTGTCGGTGCCGCCTACCTCGCCAAGAAGCAGGCCATCGTCCAGAAGCTCTCTGCCATCGAGTCCCTTGCTGGTGTCGAGATTCTCTGCTCTGACAAGACCGGTACTTTGACCAAGAACAAGCTCTCTCTCTCCGAGCCCTACACCGTCCAGGGCGTTGACCCCGATGACCTGATGCTTACTGCCTGCTTGGCCGCTTCCCGCAAGAAGAAGGGTATCGATGCCATTGACAAGGCTTTCCTCAAGTCTCTCAAGTTCTACCCCCGTGCCAAGAGCGTCCTGTCCAAGTACAAGGTCATTGACTTCCACCCCTTCGACCCCGTCTCCAAGAAGGTTACCGCTGTTGTCGAGTCCCCCCAGGGCGAGCGCATCACCTGTGTCAAGGGTGCACCTCTTTTCGTTCTCAAGACCGTCGAGGAGGACCACCCCATCCCCGAGGACATTGACAAGGCCTACAAGAACTGCGTCGCCGAGTTTGCTACCCGTGGTTTCCGTTCCCTCGGTGTTGCCCGCAAGCGTGGTGAGGGTGCTTGGGAGATTCTTGGAATTATGCCCTGCTCCGACCCCCCTCGTCACGACACTGCCCGCACTATCAACGAAGCCAAGAACCTCGGTCTGTCCATCAAGATGTTGACTGGTGATGCCGTCGGTATCGCTCGTGAGACTTCTCGCCAGCTCGGTCTCGGAACCAACGTCTACAACGCTGAGCGTCTCGGTCTCGGTGGTGGTGGTGACATGCCTGGCTCTGAGGTTTACGATTTCGTCGAGGCTGCCGATGGTTTCGCTGAAGTTTTCCCCCAGCACAAGTACTCTGTCGTCGAGATTCTCCAGCAGCGTGGCTACCTCGTTGCCATGACTGGTGACGGTGTCAACGATGCCCCCTCCCTGAAGAAGGCCGATACTGGTATTGCTGTCGAGGGTGCTTCCGATGCTGCCCGTTCCGCCGCCGATATCGTTTTCCTTGCCCCCGGTCTCGGTGCCATCATTGACGCTCTCAAGACTTCTCGCCAGATCTTCCACCGCATGTACGCCTACGTCGTCTACCGTATCGCCCTGTCTCTGCACATGGAGATCTTCCTTGGTCTCTGGATCGCCATCCTCAACCGTTCCCTGAACATTGAGCTGGTCGTCTTCATTGCCATTTTCGCTGATATCGCCACCCTGGCCATTGCCTACGATAACGCCCCTTACTCCCAGACTCCCGTCAAGTGGAACCTTCCCAAGCTCTGGGGTATGTCCGTTCTCCTCGGAACCGTCCTCGCCATCGGTACCTGGATTGCCCTCACCACCATGTACGCTGGTGGCAAGAACGGTGGTATCGTCCAGAACTTCGGTAACATCGACGAGGTCATCTTCCTTGAGATCTCCCTCACTGAGAACTGGCTGATCTTCATCACCCGTGCCAACGGTCCTTTCTGGTCTTCCATTCCTTCTTGGCAGCTCAGCGGTGCCATCCTGGTTGTCGACATCATTGCCACCCTCTTCTGTATCTTTGGTTGGTTCATCGGCGAGCAGACCAGCATTGTCGCTGTTGTTCGTATCTGGATTTTCTCCTTCGGTATCTTCGCCATCATGGGTGGTCTCTACTACTTCCTCCAGGGAAGCACTGGTTTCGACAACCTCATGCACGGCAAGTCTCCCAAGCAGAACCAGAAGCAGCGATCATTGGAAGATTTTGGTAAGTTTTTATATCTTTTCATCCCAATCAGACGTATGGTTGCTAACTCTTTTCGCAGTTGTTTCCCTGCAACGTGTTTCTACCCAGCACGAAAAGTCTCAGTAAATACACTCTATTACATACCCGCAGGCTAGTTGGCTTGCATGTTTCCGTTTTAAATGTTTAAATTTGTATGAGTCGTATCTGAAGATGGACTCGTCTAAAGTGGATGAGAGGCAACTTTTCATACCCAATGATGGTCTGATAGACAGCTAATGAAGACAAAAGTAAAATAATGTCACCTTGATGTGTCTGGTGAACTTGAATGTTATGTCGGCAAATGTCTTGATGTGAACAACTGATTAATGTTTTGAGGATGGGGCGAGTGCGAGTTTATGAATTGATAGTTGGCAAAAATGAAATGGTTTTAAACGACTGAACTACCGAGCAGAATTACAGTACAGTTTAGATTTTGTAAGGCTCCTGGTTGATTCTTCCGCAGATGCCGGCGAGATATCAGGCGCTGCAAAAGTTGGTGTTGCCGTGCCAAAGCGCGTCACGTGACATGAAAACTGCCGGTGCATTTTCTGCAGCTAAGCCCGCTAAACTAACTGCCTGGTGCAGATATCGCCCCAAAACGCTCATCAAAACAAACCAACCAATATTTCCTTTGCAACAGAACCAAGACTTCCTGCAGCTATCAAATCAGAATTCTGTTGAGTGAGAATAGACAAATCTCTATCCCCAAGCAGTTCTGATTTTGATTTTTTAGTTTTGTCTTTCCTTTTTCGTTGGGTTCACTTTCGAAACTCTCCTGGCATAGAAACTATTCCATCTCTTTTTAAGAATCGCCATGAGCAGTACTCCCGCTGAGCTACCAGGCTTTTACTACGGTAACATTTCTTTTCATCTCCTTTCATCATGTCTTTTTGCATCAATATTCATCAACCTAACATTTGAAATGCAGATGCGGAGAGGCGGAGATATTTCGCCATAGAAAATTCTCACACCGCGCCAGCTTCGGCGGAATGGTCCTCTGCCTCCGTTAAGCGCCGCAGGCTCGAGACGCAAGCCGCCGAGGAAGCAGCCCAGCAGGAAGAGCTCATCGAGAACCATGTTAAGCGCAGTGTCTTGACTAATGATGTTGCTACCTCTGGACTGCTTGCCCGCGAGCTGGGCGCCTCGAGACCCGCGGGGATGCTTGAGAATGAGGAAGTTGCTGCTACTCTGTGGGCTCAGGGGGTGACTGACAAGGGCAGCGTTGCCTTTGGGCTCAGTCTGCATTATGAGACTCATCCTCATATGCCGTGTTTTTACGTCAGTGGCAAGGAGTGTGGTACGGAGTCGGCTATAGCGTATTCGAGTGAGTTTTCCTTCATGTTTGACACTCGTTGTTGAGTTGGGTATGAAGAACGAGAGGGCAAGCGGCTACTAATGACTCGATTTTTAGCTTTTGATGAAGAGATGCTGATGGGAACCTATATTGACACGGATGAAAACGAAAAGTGAGTATCTGTTTTACTCTTCATCCTAACTCTCCTTGCCTGGGTTACGATACTAACGGCCTGGTACAATATAGTCTGAAGACTAAAGCAGCGCATTTCCGCAGTCCGGATAGACTACACTATGAGATGATCTACTGTCCTCAGATGTCATCTATCAAATATCATCAACCGACTAACAAGGTTCTTCTCACCTCGAAAGAACCAGGCCGGGGCTTGTCTCTCTGTGTTTTCACTCCTCCAATGGAGACAACTCCTGACCAGGAACGGCACTGGATCCTGGGAGAAAGTATGTTCCCCTTCCTCTTATATGAACCCCTTTTTGGGAGTATTTTCGTGACAAGGCATTCCCGAATGTTTGTCAATTATCCTCGCCTGAGCATCTGACTGACACCGCAATAATAGTTGATAGCTACCGTAATATCATGTATGACTTTTCGCGCAGTCGAAGCTGGGGCGTCAACCAGAGCACGCCTGCCCCTGCCTCTTCCGACCTCCTCTGCGTTGTGGGCACCAGCAGGGGGATCCAGCGTATTCATCTCGATGAAACTCCTAGCTGGATCACTCAAATTCGAATGGAGAGCCCGCCGGACTACGGCGTTGATGCCAAGATTGATTACCCTGGTCGCAAGCACCATATCGGCCCTCAAGAGATCTTTTCTCAAGACTTCCAGGTTGGCAATCACAACATCTTGTTTGCTGGTGGCCGGCAGCCTCGCCTCTGGGTTACTGACCTTAGAGCGCCCACTGCCGGATGGAACTTCGTTAAGCACGGCTCGTCCATTGCGCACGTCCGCAGCATTAACCCCCATCAAGTCCTGGTCGCCGGTCTGCGGAACCGCATGTCCGTGTACGACATGCGCTTCATCCAAGCCAACAGGAATGGTTACCGCGAGCGAGCCACTTCTTCCCCAATTCTCGAGTTCCCAGACTACAAGAACGAGCCCTACTTCAACTTTGGCTGGGACGTATCCACGGAGCTCAACCTCGTGGCCTCGGCGCAGGACAACGGCACCATCAAACTCTTCTCCCTGAGCTCTGGGTGCGTTTTGCCTTCGGGACAAGCCTTGGAGAGCTTTCGCACGGACGATCCCGTCAAGGCAATGATGTTCCAGACTTTGCCGGGAGAGAATTCGCCGAGCTTGTATGTGGCCAAGGGTCCGTTTTTGAAGAAATTTGGTTGTGCGCCAAGCGACCTTTCTGACGAGGAATGATTCTATTCAATCTCCTTGACTTGTTTTTCTTCTTCGGGGCTATACTTGCACCTGTTTGATATCGATTTTCTTGTCCAAGGGACTATGTGCGCAAATTTGCTTCGTTATATTGTTTTTCGATTTATTTCACGTCAGGTGTTAGGATCATCAGCATGAGGAATCCTCGTTTTTATGTACGATTTGGGAGGATGGGCTTGGTATTTATGGTCCCTCGAACTTGCTTCTACGAGGGGTTACATCGTTTACATCGTTTGATATTGGTTTGATTTGATTTGATTTGACGCAACAACGATACTGCTGATACCCAAGGACGGGTTTGCAGAAAGGGATACACAGGAACAGCTGGCATATGCGAAATGAGCTACGAGTTACGCGTTTACGGAAACAAACGGGATGGAAAAGTGTCTTCTTCTGCTTTGATAGAATGGTTTATGGTCATTGAAATGCCGTCTTGTACTTTGCTATATATCTACAGACGGACGGACGGACGGACGGACAAATGTGTTTGAGAATAAGCTTACTAAAGAGCTTTGTATGAATTCATATAACGGAATTACAATTATATTTCGAGAGATGTAGTAAATACAATAACCATGCTATAACGCATACATGTCATAATATGTGCATTTCGTGGAATGAATGCACTTTAAGTGTTACCAAAACCAAACGAGTTGTCCTCCAACACCGGAGTAATGCTGTTGCGGGTGATTCAGGGGTTAGCAAGCCCTCCAGGAGCGTCCTCCTCTTTTCTTTCTTTGTGCTCATTCCCACCTCTTTTTATTCACTAGAAAGCATCATTTATTTAGCATTTTCTTGTCCATTTGCATCGGGCCAATACTGACACGTATCAGCCAACATGGGAAAAGATTCGGCAAACAGCCTCCCCAATTTCCAATTATCCAAATTTCGCATGTGGCTCTCAAACACGGGGTTAATCATAATCTCATCAGAGTCGGGGTTTCGTAGTAACGTATGTGCCTCCTCATAAGGCCAGGAGACGGAGAAGGTGGATGTAAACGGAAGAAAGAAGTTGTCAAAGTAGAAGAGGTCGGGATTTTCGGCTCTAATGACTCTTTCCCTCATCGCCGGGTATGGTAAGAAATCCATCCACGCGGCATGCGGTATTTCGTACTGACATGGCAATGGATGGATCCACGGCGGCAAACGTTCCAAGTTTTCCTTCGTTGGATATATCTGCCATCGCATGAAAAGAAACATGAGGTACAGAATGGCCACCTTTTCGGGAAGGCCGGACACCTCGGGAAACTTGGTAATGATGTCTGTGAAAACTCTAGACACTGGGTGGCTGAATTTGCTATTTGCTGGATTGAGCAGAGAAGAAACGGATGGATACCGAGGGCCAGACACCTCACTCGGCTCGTAGCCCTCAGCAGCACGCTGCTGCCGCTCGCTAAGAAAGTCGAGAAGTAGAGCGTCAAGCGGACATGTAGGACTGCAGTTGCGCAGGGGACGCGAGAATTGAGGGAGAGCTTCTGGGACAGCAGTCTGTGCGGTGGGATAGGGAACTGCTGGAACCATGGGGGGGCTGGGATCAGAGGTTGGCCCGGAGGCAGGCCCTGGCTGGCTTGTGACAGAACTCTGCCGAGTGATGCCCAGGGCTGATGCTATTGCCGGAGTTGTGTCTGAGGTAGCTGATAGTATGGAAATAGGTGACTCCCACGCAGGCACAGGCCGGGCCTGTGGTGCGTAAGTCGGATTCACTTGTGTCCAGTCATGTTTCATGGGGACGTGGTGGTATTCAACCGTGTCTTGTGCACCATTAACGCCCCTCTGTAGCTTTGGTATAGCTTGGGCAGGGTCGAGTACGACGTTTAGGTCAAAGCGGCCCTGCTCAAAGTCCAAGCCGTGCCGAAGCGTCTGTCCTTGCCGCTCTAATAGGGCCTGAGTGCCTTCATCGACGGCGTCGGTTAGGCTAGGCTGTCGCGGTGCTGGCGGTGTACTACTACCGCCGCTTTGCCAGCTCTGCAGGGGCGGTTGAGCGGCTTGGCGAATGGGGTCAACCATTCCTGCTGCTGGTGATGAAGAAGTAGCAGATGCTGCAGGATGATAGGCGATGTTGCTTGTTGTTGTCATGGGAATAGGTGTTGCGGCGTATGGGAGGGCAGGGCTGATGCCAGGCATATCTGCTCTTGTTAGACTTTCGCCGGATAACTGTATGGACACATGGGTAAAGACAGAATTTCAGTTTGAAAGGCTAAAGCTTACTTGACCCAACCAAAGGCTGCAGCATGCCGATAATGCTAGCCAGCCGTCTCTTGATCTCAGCATTTTCTGCTTCTATCACCTCCTTGGCCCGTACCACGGCCTGGAGGTCCTGATACGGTTTTTGAGCTTCAAGCTCATGGATGCGGCGCTCGAGCCTCTCAATCTGGTTCTTAGTCCTTTCTCGGATGGCACGTTGCGCTTCGCGGTCTGTACAACCAAGGGGAAGGTCATATATGTTAGTCATACGCTAATACCAGGGGGAGGCTGCTGAGAAAGCATTGACAAAAAAGAAGGCTGTTTGCATGGGAAACAGCCAACCAACATCATTGTGTGGTCTCAACAAGTGTAACATTGAAGTCATGAATAGAATAGCTACAAAGGCTGACGCCATATGCGGCGATCAAAGGGGGGTGGGTAGGAAAGATGTACGAGTATGGCAAACACTCACCGTTTGCTCTTTTCTTGGCCAGCTGCTCCGGCGTCAAGTTTGCAACACCTCTACTTCCTGAACCCGTTTTCCTCTTCTTGGTCACATTTTCCACCTCTTCTGCTTCCGTGGTCTCCATGGCGTCCGCGGCACCAGATGCGCCTGCCCCTGCGCCATTGGGCATCGCCGTCGCCGACGTCAGGGAGGGTGCAGTGGCTTCAGCTTCATGCTTGATGCCTTCGGTAGGGCTGCCGCTCTCTACAGAATCTCCTGCTCCGGGGCTAATCCCGCCCCGTCTTACGGATCCGAGATCCATATGGAGCGTGTGGTGGTATTCGGGGAACTGCCAACAACGGGCCGGCCAACCATCCTCCGCGTCCGCCGAATAGACCGGAGCTTGTCCACTCCCAGCGGCGTTGATCCCCCTGGCCTCGGCAACCAGGTGGATGCACCTGTGGTACTTGTGTGTGTAGGTGTGTGGTGTGCGTCTAGGCGCCGGGGGCTCAGGTCTCGATAGCAATCGCCGTCGCGAGGCTGGGCTGAGCGAGCGAGCCGATCAAGATGTGTGTGCTTGGCAGCTGAGTGGGAGGTGTATTCTCCACTCGGCTCCGGAGCTTGGTCTAGACTGCCTAGCTGGAGCAGGACAGGCCGTGTCGAAGCCCTGTCGCTCCAAAAAGCCTAAAGAACAATAGTCGAGGACTGTCTCTGTACGAGTACTCTGTACTCTGTACTCCGAAGGGCCGTGTCAGTCTAGCAAGCAAACAAGGGGCGTCGCGCGAAGACGGGAGACGGCTGCATGGGGGTAATGGTGGAGATGGAATGGTTGGCTTCCCTCAACCTCCGGCTGGCACGGCTGGCCTATGAACAGTTCGTTGCTGAATCAGGCGAGCGGGTGGTCAGAGCCATGTCGCGAGTCAGGAAGCCCGCTAGCGATTGGCTCTGGCACGTGCCGTGCGACGAACTGCGGCGGCTGATAGTTTGAACTAGCAGCTTGAAGGATCGAATCCTGCCGTGGCATGGCGAGCTTACTTTTGTGATACTACATACCTGCCCAAGTATGCTCTAGACCAGTTGACCAGTCAGTAAATCGAATGCCAGACAGATGCGGCAAAATCATGTAAGCTTAAGCGCGAATGCCGGGATGGGGGTGGGCTGAGTAATACCGGTACTAAATGCCGTTCCATGTCGCCTCCTGCAGCTGTGGCTCGATATTCGCTATTTGGCTTGTTGGGGCCGGATGTCTTTGCTGCTATCCAATTGCTTGACGAAGAGTTTCCATATGTAACAGAAATAGGTAGCTTGCTGTGTTTAAGGACCTGCCTGCATGTCAGAGTTGTAGCTGCTTAAATGTGAGGAGGTGTAGATGCGAGAAGCTGAGAGGAGAAAAGAGGTTTGTGGTGTTTAGGAAAGTACATGCAAAGAGGTACCTACTCGTACCTTATCCAAACACCACAACGGGCAAGTACGACGAGGCCCTGCTCTTTCCGCAGTTGCAATGCCAAGTGATTGTGGTACATTGGTACATGTTCAGATATATCAAACGCAGAGACAGACAGCCTCATAGAGTACATTAGAAGATAGAACTAAAGTAGAATGCAATATTGTCTACATCCATCTCTATAGACTCCCGAAGCACATCCTACATATTTCGAAACAGGCACGATGCCCATTCAATCTTAGATCATCACAAGGAACATGAATCGCGTCAAGATGTGTCCAACAATAACCAATTACTCTCCTATACATTCATTCCATCTTCCCAGCCTATTTCTTATTCTCAAAAGTGCAAATCAGCATCTCCCTGATGCCGCTGCCTTGTTCTCTAATCTCATTTGTACCAAAGGTATCAACAAAAGTCATCATCATCAACAAATCGCATTGCTCTCTTTCAAGCCACCCCTTAAACCCCTCCTCATCCTCATCCTCCCATTACATGAATTACTCCGCAGACGCTCTAGCCAATGCCTCGTGCAGATGTGGCGGGAACCTGTATCGCAGTTGGCTCGTGTAAGTCGTCAGATCAAGAATCATCTGCTTCAGCTGTTCCACCATCATCCTTCTCGTGCCCTCGTTGCCGCTGAACTGCCCATTGACTAGCTGCTCTCTTTGTCTGACGCAGCTGATGATGGTCCACATGATTAGATTGGACACATTAATGGACACTGGCTGTGAGAGGCTGGAGAATTTGGAGGCGTAGGCACGGATTGTGCTGGCATCGCCCCCTGCTTCGAGGGGGAGGATATCCAGGCCACGAATTTTCTGTAAACTTCATGTTAGTGACTTTGAACTCTGGGATAAAGTATGTAATGCTATATTGGAAACTTACGTCAAGACATTGAGCCCATTGGCTAGCCTCCACCAAGCTCTTGATGGCACTCATCTCAAGCAAAACGCGGCAGGCAATCTTGTTCTGGTCTTGGATATTCCTGTAGAACATGGCATCGCGCTCGTACATGGTCATCATCGTCTTGGCAAGCTCGACAGGATCGTCGATGGCTGCCAAGCTAAGGCTGCCGCCCTGCTCTGTCTCCTGAGTGCCACCCCTTGGCTTAACAGGCATCAAGCGCATTGGGTCTTCTCCAATTTCAAGAGAAATGGCTTCACTCAGGGCACGGCTAACAATAGCCACAACTGCATCATACTCGCCAGCAAGGTGATAGAGCAGCACGGAATCAGTAGTTCGGCCATTCTCATCAGCAAAGCTGGCAGCTTGCAGAGTGACGGTATTGACAAAGTCGTCCTGTCCATCGAGGCCAATCAACGGTCCGCGACCCTCGATGATGCCCAAGATGCGGCGGCCATCTGGCCTAATGTCACCAATAAGCTTGCTGAATTCTCGCGTCTCCAGCACCAGCTCTCTCAAAGCCTCATGGCAGAGACCACTGTGACGTGCCCCGGCTTCTCCATTGAGATCTGCGTTTAGGCAGATCAAGGTGAGATAGTCAACGGCGGAGACGGCATCGGCAGCCCGGAAGTCTCGAGTGTAGTAGCCAATCATACGACCAAAGTTGATCTGTGGGAGGCCCTTCATGCTATGCGTGCGCAAGTCGTTGGAGGCAGACATTGGGTCACTGGGACGGAGCAGGCCGTAGAACTCAAGGGCCAGGCCAAAGTGAACTGCGTCCACATAGGAAAAGGGGTAGAGATAAGAGACGGCATCCTCAAACATGCCGGACAGGATCTGTAGGTAGAAGAACATGCCGCAGCTGCCGTTGTTATCGTCAGAAGGAGTCTTGGGGAAGTGCTTCTGGCCAATCTCTTTGATGCTGGCCTGCAGATCTGCCAGTCCATATGATTCTCCGGCCATTTCTAGAGCCTTATCGCCCTCTCTGGCCAGGTTGAACTGAAGCCAAATCCAGTCGTTGATGTCGGTGTTGAGGCCGTCCAGGTTGCGGTTGTTCAACTCAATCCGACCAATAACCTTGTAACAGGCCATGCGGAAGGGATCAATGGTATTCTCTGGGGCGTTACGAGAGCGCTGGATGTATTCATTTGTGCAGCGATCGAGCAGCTTCCTGTTAGTGATTCTACGGTCTTCGCTAGCGGCATAGTTGTTGAGGTATGTCGAAAACGTGCGGTCAATACCCCGGAAATGATTGCTATTGTCGTTGACATACTTGGCAGCCTCGTTTACATGGCCAGATCGAAGGAGGTAGAAGACAATGGCCCAAACATATTCGCCATGGATTTGCTGAAGCTCGGTGTTGTCGGGGACCAAGTCCTTTCTAGCTGATCGTAGTCGGATGTATGCCTTGATCTTGCTGGTGATGTCCGGCAGACCTCCAAGCTTAGCTTCGTGAGGGTGCTTAGCAATAAGGGACTCCACCTCGCGAAGGAACTGCTTTTCGAGGAATGCATTTGCGCCGCTCAGGATCCGCCTTCTCATTTCAATCGAAAGCTGGGAGTTAGGGTTTTCGTCTAGATACATCTCGGCGAACTGGCGCTCCTTGGCTGTAGCACTGCGAAGCGTCGTCTCGGCATTGGCGTCTTCACCAACAATTTCAATCATGGCTCGGTAGGCTTCCACAATGTGAGGCGCATGTGGCTCGTGGGATTTTTGCTCAACCTCAGCCAGCTCTGCCAAGATGGGGTAGGGTCGGCCGAGAAGACGCGAGGAGTTGAGGCTGCGGACCTTTTCAGCCAGTTTAGACTGGCGTTCGCGCAGGGCCTGGTCCTCGTTCCTGGACTTGCTGACGCTCTCTGTAGACCGGTCGATGTCGGCGAACTCGGATTGATGAGTTCCAATTCTCGACCGGGCTCCAATAACAGAGCGCTGGAATGTCGAATTGCCAAATGTACTGCTGCGAGTGTCACGGGGAGTGCTTCCTTGGGTCTTCCGTCGGGATCGTCCAAATCCGCCCTGAGCCTCACGACCAGCCGTGGCCGAGGTCTCACGAGGCTTTATGCCAAAATGTTGATAGATACGCTTCCTCTGTGCGTCCCACTCCATGGCTACGTTGTCCTCCAAGAAATTGTCAAAATCGCGGAGTGACCGCTCGAGGCCGTCCTGAATCATGCTCAGGGTCGTCTTCGTCTGCAGGTTCGACAGGTAGGTTTCGACATCGACATCTGCCGGAGCGTAACCGTGTGTTGGTCGTTCAGTTCGCGTGCCCTGGATGTCGAGGAGGCCGAGGTCTTTGGCTGCAACACTGGGATCCACGCCAGAGGCCGCGAGCAAGTAGTGAGCCTTTCCATCAGCACCCCCAGTCTGCTTCGACTGCAGCTTTCTCAACCGGTGGCGCAAATCTCCCAGGCCAAGCTCTAGGCTAGGGAGATCCTCCATGTTGGAATTAACGACACCGGCCTTCTGGGTCTTTGCGAAGAGGCTGTCAAAGTAGGCTCCGGCGGGTTGAGCTGCAGAGGTGGTCGTGTTGTTAGCAACGGTCAGCGCCTGGCCGCCCAAAAGGCCACCCGCTAAGGACATGCCGCCGGCTTGCTGAGCTGGAGGTTGAGTCGTCGTCGGTGCCGCTCCAAAGAGAGATGGCTTCGCAGCCGTGGTGCCGCCGCCTAGCATAGATGTGCCGGTCAGGCCTGAGCCACCAAACAGCGACGGCTTGGGCTGTTGTGCTGCGGCATTCTGCTGGCCTCCAAACAGACCACCGGTTGTGCCAGTCTGTTGGGTCTGGCCCGTTTGCCCAAATAAACCGCCCGTGCTCGGCTGTGCTGTCGCTGTGTTGGAACCAAACAGACCACCGCCAGTCTGAGGCGTGCTCTGCTGGGGCTGCGCCTGTCCGAAGAGGCCCCCAGGCTTCTGCTGTTGCTGCTGCTGTCCGCCACCAAATAGGCCTCCTCCGCCCCCAAACAATCCGCCTCCTGTGCCCGGCGTTGTGGTGGTGGCCTGCTGTTGTTGTTGCTGCGCGGGCTGGCCAAACAGCGACTGGCCGGTTGTCTGCCCGAATAGAGACATCGCGGCGAAGTAGCTAAGACAACTCAATCGGACAGTAAATGGGAAATAAAGCAAAGAAAAAGGAAAAGGATGAATCCGTAGAGATGAAAAGAGTGAGCCACGGCGAGCAGGCAATGGAAGGGCAGAGATGCTCGCGCGTTTGGCAAGACAAATGTGTTGCGGCTAGCTGCGCGTCGCCCACCTTTTTAGAAATTTGGGAACCTGGATTGGCGAGGCTGAGAAACTGGCCGGGAAACAAAGAGCTTTGTCCAATCAAGAGGCCTGGATGGATGACGCGGCTGAATGGCGGTAGCCAATCAACTATCGCCTCAAGTTGCTGTTAATGAATATGAAAACTACGAATAAACAAATGATTTGCACAATCTTACACCTCCTGAAATCATTTTTTGTCAGTTTCCTTAAAAAGAAGCTATTCTTTCAAGCATTAATTCCAATTATCATGAGACAATGGACTTTTTACAAATGTCTTAAAGGGGATCAAGAACATAATGGTAAAAATGTTATCGGGCAATAACTTCGCTGTATTTTACTTTTCTCTATGACAAACAAATGCATAAACTCATTACATTACATATCCCAAGCTCAATTCTATTTCGTCTTCCTCATGCTGTATCAGCAGCTTCACTCATCGTCAGCATCAAACAAGGCTCCCCATTTGGCAACGGCGTTGTCAATCTTCTTTCGGTACGCCTGCTGTGCGTTGCACATGTCGAGGAAAATCTCGTACTTGGCATCCAGAAGCAACTTCTCGCCGGCATCGGTGCCTGGCTGAACCAGTCGGCCGGGCTTGCTCATGCGATCCATGATATTCCACAGCGTCTCGGGTTCTGAACCATCATGGCGGTTGTGGCTATGCGCCTTGGCGCCCAGCATGGCAGCACCGTGAACGACGGCCGCGTTGACGTATCTAGGAATCAACACTGGCATGTTGCATGTGGTAGCCAGGAGGTTCATCAGAATGGGGTTCTGGCACTGCGAGCCGGACATGAAGATGGATGAAATCTCGTGGCCAGCCTTGTTCATCTGCTCGACAATCTGGCGAGTCTGCATGGCGATGAACTCCATGGTGGCATAGTACCACAGGGCCATGTTGTCGGTACTCTTGTCGCTGTCAAGACCAATCATGGAGCCTCTCATCTTGGCGTCTGCAATTGGTGAGCGGTTGCCCCACAGATCGCCATAAAAGAAGTGGTGACGGCCGAGATAAGAGATGGCCGGAGCATTGTGCTTCTCAGCAAGATACTCCAGGTGAGCATTGAGGAAGTCGTAGATGTGCTTGTCTTCGGCCTTGGCCAAAGCCATGGTTTCGTTGTACGCGGGGTGAATGTCCAGCATGTGTCTTAGCAGCTCTCCTGTCGCGGACTGGCCACCCTCGGCCATCCAAAACTCGGGAATCAGCACATCTCGGTAGGGACCCCAGACACCGGGGACAAAGACGGGATTCTTGGACATGGCCAGATGGCATGTTGAGGTACCCGCAACGGCGGCCAGACGAGTAAAGGCCTGGGTGACGTCGTTATGTGGGACATCAGTCTTCAGTTCCTCCTCGGTGAGCTCGACCTTGGCACCGACGGTTCCGATCCATCCGGCGTAGGCGTCAATGACACCGCTTCCGACGGCGATGCCCTCGGGTAGGCCAAGCTGGGAGGCGGCTAGGCGGCTAAGGGTGCCCACGCACTCGCCAGCACTGGCATATTTTCCACTCTGCCAAAATATGAATTAGCTAAGAAACTCGAATCGCAATGATACTGCAGCCAGAAGCGGAATGCAGCAGGGAATAAGACAGTCTAGACGCATAAGAAAATAGGCTCACCACCCCGTCGACGCCGCCCATGCGCTTGAAGTCATCCTTGACCAAGTCGCCCAGGCCTATTTCGTGGTAAAAGTCTTCCTGCCAGCCCTTGACACTGCCGTCTACGCCAACCGGGACGAAGCCCTGCTTGCAAACGGTGCTGCAGAAGCTGCGCGTCTCGTTGCCGGTAGCCAGATGAGTAAGAGCGTCTGCCAGGTCGTAAAACTTGCAGCGGTCGAATAGCTCCGGGGGCATGTTGTTCTTGAGCCACAGAACCTTGGGGATCTCCATCTCAATGCTCATCTTGCCGCCAACGTACTTGAGCAGCTTATGGCCGGTAGCGTTGATCTTGTCCGTCTCCTCGACTGGACGGTGGTCAAGCCACAGGATGACGTTGCGATCGTTGCCATCATTGTCGAACTTGGGGCCAGTGACGGGAATGGGCTCATCAGTATCGTTGGAGAAGACGGCTAGGGAGCAGGTGGCGTCAAATCCAATGCCCTTGATTTGGCTGGGGTTTACAAGAGACTCTTGCACGACGCGGCGAACGCATTCGCAGATGCACTTCCAGATGTCTGTTGTGGATTGTTCCTACAGCCGAACAAACATGGACAAGTCAGAATTAAGCGCCCATACAAGATTGAAAGGAACCAATCGGGGGCGTTGTGGGCGTGCATACGTAGTAGCCGTTCTCGGGCTGCCAGAGCTTAATGTTCTCCGAGGCCAGAGCCTTGATGTCACCAGTCTCATCAATGATACAGGCCCGGGCAGAGCCGGTACCGACATCTATGCCGATGTAGTGATCCTGCAGCAGTTGGTGTTAGCTTTGTCCCCTCATTCTTAGTATTCTCGGTCTGGTGAGTGGTGTTGAAAGCTTCGGCTCTACCAATTTCGCTGCATCATAATGTTGTGCTGCTTGATAGCTCTGTATATCGGGATGCTGGGCGGGGTGGGTTGGATTGGGAGTTTTGTAGCTACCTGAACATTGGGAGGCCTTTCCATGATGCCAGAAATGAATAATTAGCAATGTATTACTATATGACAAGCAATTGGCGAGAAAGAAGAAAAGGCAATTGGATGTATGGAAGAAGAGGAGGAGGACGAGTAAGATGAGAAAGAGAAAGTTGAGACTCACTCCATGGCCTTTATGGGCTTATTGTACGCGTACATCGTTGCTTCCCAGCCAAGGTTTCCCCGCTGATTCTGGTAGCTCAAATCAATGGATTGAATCTGGACCTTTGGAGCAAGCCACAGAACTAGGTCGAATTGGAGGGTGAGACAGAACAGAAGATGGTGTACAGTATCGTGTCGTATCGTATCGATGAGCAGGCGAGGGGTTTCGGTTCCGGCAAAAAGATTGAAAGGGAGCAACCAAGCCGAGAGCAGATGATTCAGGCGCAAAGCAACAACCCCCACCGCCTTGACAAACTGACCCGGACCTGGACCTAGGGGCGTGTCTCCATGGGCGCCAGATTGGAGAGACGCCCAGATGCACGAAACTTGCAGCACCTTTTGGAGCCAATTGGGGCGGATCAAATGCAGCATTTGGTGGGAGGGCATCAATCAGATGAGATGGACCCAGCGTAGGCTCCAGCATTTCGTCCATCCCAGCGGGTTTTAGGTGCATAGGACCACTAACATGCGCTAACGCTTTCCCCATTGCCCCGCTGGAGGACCCTATTTGCCCCTCAACTCCAGCGCTAGCTAACACGGAACGACTTGCTCAGCGCATCTCGGAAGTGATCACTCATGCTTGTGGTGATGACGGGCGATCGAGTTGCCACTGGAGCTCCGGAAATGGATCTGATGAGCACGGCAGTATGAAAGACAAAAAAAGAAGAAAAAAGTTGAAAAAATAGGGTCTGGTCCCATTGACATCATTTATGATTTCATAGTGGCAATCCAGGGACCATTTCATTAAAAAGCAAAAAGAAAGAAGAAGAAACACCACTCAAGCCACTCCATAGAATGAAGCAAATGAAACGATACAGAAAAGTTCCAGTGGCCCTGAATTCCAGCATCCACTCTTGAAAATTCTCCCCCGTCAGCAGGCACACCCAAAACCGGAACCTCACGATAGTCTCTTCCCAATATTTTTTCTTCTATCTTCTCAAACTCCCGATCCCTCCATCTTTTCCCCCCACCATACTTTTTTCTTAACTCGCTGCCTAGCGATCATCACTCGTCCCCTCCGCTTTTCTGGGCCTATCGAGAGCCACGGCTGCACAAGCGTTGCCCAGCCCCTGGTGGCGCTTCAAGAGAATTCCGGGAAGAAGCAAAGCAGAGAAATTCTCTTCTCGTAATGTGAAAGGATGCCATCCCACGTTTTGGTGGGCTCCGATTGCGGTATGCGAGAGGCGAGATATGCAACCAGAACTCGGATCTCGGATATGCTCACGTCCCACGTCTCTCCAACACCATACCATATGATGCGGCATTCAGCCGGTTCGTCTTTGTGGATGCAACCCCTATGCTAGAAAGGCGCCATGTCTCTCCTGGCGTGACACGGAATGGTAGCAACAGCATTTTGACAGACGCCATCATTTGACAAACCTCACGATTGCCTCAAACGACATCAGCCGCACTCATAGGACTCTCCTCTGGCACCGAAGCCCTCCTCATGGCCGCCTCTCTCTCCTTCTTGAACATCATGTCATTCGGCACGCTCATGCTCCTACTCCTGCTCCGGACCATGGCCAAGCCCTCTTGTCCCATCTCTGCCGCCGCAATCGCCTCCTCGTTGGCCGTCTCTGGGTCACCCGCGTCCTGACCCGGGTTGGCAATCTGATACTCCAAGCCCTTGAGCAAGCTATAG